TTGCCGCGGTGTGCCTTCCACTGGCCTTGAAAGTGGAACGCGACTTCCTGTGGGTCTGCCCTCCGACGCTCGCCTACTGCCACTGCGTCGTTTCTTCCGGAACTGGCCGCTCTATCTGTCTGAGGGTTTGCTTCACGGAGGACTATTTGTCCTTCATTGGATGCTTTGTTGTCCAGGGGCCACCCTGAGCTCTCGGGAGAGCTTGCGGGGTCATGAAGAGAGGTGAGATCCTCAACCTCCGCGTGGGCATCAGGGCGCCCAGGGTTCGATGAGGAGGAGTTTGGCAGAGGAGCCGCGTTTCGGGAGAGAACCTCTTCCCTTCTGTGCCCGCTTGAGTCTGAGGAGCTTCTTAACTTGACCCTTCGTTCCCAGGGGGAAACCTGATCGGAGCGCCACTCCTGAGTTGCGTCCGAAGGAGCTTCGGCCACGTCTTCCGCCTGGGCTCGCCTGCTTGGCGGAGGAGCAGGTGGGGTAGGGCGTGGAGTTGAGTTCGCCCGGAAACGCGCATCGCTTTCCGCTAAGGAAAGATGCCTAGCATGGCTCCTTGCTTTACTCCTGGAAATCGAACCAGGGCTTTTTGTAGGGAGATCTCGCGCGCTTCTTTCCATGTTCACCTCCCTTGCTGCATCCAGCTCTTCTTGTGGCAATCTTGATTGCTTGCCTTTGAGGCCTTTGGATTTGCCGTGTCCTTTATTCCATCCTTTTCCCATAGCTCACTTCCTAAAAGAGAGAGCGGTTTGTGTCAGGCCATCCTTTTTTGCTATTGCTTTAATTTTGGCTTTAGACTTGGGAAAAGCGGGTGTGGTCTGGGGAGGCAAAGGAGGAATCTGAGGGAGAGACTCTCCTGTGCTGCTACTTGCCACTGCTTCACATGCACTGGTGTTTGAAGGCACAACGGCTGCGGGATGGGGCGAGCAACTCTGCCTCAAGCCGAAGAAGGCTTTTACGCCAGCCTTGGGGTCTAGGCTTCTTTTTTGGGCTTCTTGGAATTTGCTGTTAGGCTTCTTGCAGACCTGACTGCACCTGCCTTGACATCCCGGTTTGGCCTTTAGGATTCTGACAGCTTGGAAAACTCCACACTTTTTGCATACCACTGACTCTCCAAGGTTGATCATGTGGTGAGACACGTGAAAGCCCCACGGAGTCGAGGTGGGCACAGGCAGACTCTGGCACGGGAACTGAAGGACGTGGACAACCACCTCATGCGGATCGACTTGTTGCACGTAAAGCCCGCACCCTTCGCACTTGATGCACAGGTTGTTGGTGCTTTCTCCGCTAGAGATTTTCCAATTGTGCATGGTCTGAGGATTGGCCTCCTTGACTGCATGCAAAAGAAGCTGTCTTTTGTTGGGTCCTTTTTTGGAGGGAAGCGCGGCCTTGGCCTTAGCCTTCCTCTCAAATTTGACCTCATTTGCTGAGGGCAGCGGGCAGTTTGCGAGGAGGAACTCAGCTCGCTTTCCTAAGAAAGTGGAGATCTCTCGTGCAGTGCTGTCAATTTGCCTGACATTTGCCACATGCACTTGTGACAAAATCTCATTGGCCTTTTGACCGCACAGCCAGTCTGCATGTCTGTTGGCTTCCCAGGCCCATGAGGAGCCGGTGCCATGCCTGGCTGCGTGCTCCTCTTTGGTTAAGTGCCCTTTTGTCCAGACCGGTTTCAATCTATTTCGGTCTTCCTGACCTGCGGTCCAAATACTTGGCCAAAGGAAATGGGCGTTGGGGTTTTTAAGTCTAGTGAGCGCAATTTTGCTATCGCAGGCAACAAAATTGTTTTGGTTGGACAAGCCCAAAAGGAAATCAAGTGCCTTTGACTCAGCGTCATTTACCGTGAAACCTACCTGAAGGACCCCCACCGCACACCCTACAATCTTGTAGGCCGGATCCGGCTCCGGGCCTTGCCAGCAGCATGCCGGCAGATGGCCATCCTTGCGCTGTATGGCAACTAAGCTCCAGGTTGCCATTCTGAGCCTGGGATCGGAGGCCTGTGGTCCTCCTGATCCGTCCGTACCAAACCAGACTGATTGGCAGCTCTGTGCCGCTTCTTCGAGGTTTCCTTCAACACGGGTTTCGAGGAGAGAGGGAGGGTGGTCAGGGTGCTTGGTAAGCGGGGCTGGGACTAGTCCTCTCAACCAGAAGCATTCTGGTGCATCCACCCTACTCCTCCACTCAGGGTCGGGGCCAATATCGTGCGCTGCCCACGCAGGGCAAGTGTGAAGCGCATGCACAAACGAGTTGGCCCCGCCGCACCTCGTGCACACCGCGTGCCCGCCATGTCCATTGAAGGCTACAGCGCCTTGCCAGACCATGCGTAGCCCTGTTACCTTTAGAGTGTTCCCTTTGGCTTTTTTCAGCAGGCTCCTGTGGGTCGTCCAGTCTAACCCTTGCTCGGCTCCTCCGCCGCCGTGCTGGCTTGCAATTCGCCCCCAACGGTCGCGCAGCATGGCTCCTCGCAGCTGCTCCTTCACCTGCTGTGCTGTTCTGGCGTTTCCCCACTCGAGTCTAATGGTGAGGTCTGGCCTCGACCATACTTCCATGGCGGGAGCTTCAAAACCCATGTCGCGAAGATAGCACACCATAGCGGCAATCGGGCCAGCTGCTAGTCTCCAGGGGTGAGCCGCTCGCGCAAGCCTATTCCACGTAACCCCCCATGCTTGTTGAATGCGTGGCGCACACGGGCCATTGATGGCTACGCATCGGCTTAGGCTGTCCCAATGTTCCAGAACGATGCGGATAACCGGGTCTTGGACATTAAACTCGCCCATATCAAAGACCACGTCCGCTGAACCAAGCGCCAGTCTGGTGGAGTGGGACACCGCCATTCCCCTCACCACCTTCTTTCTCTTTGGAGACAGCCCTTGGGCCTGATGCCCCCAGGTGCCCGCCGTAAAGGCGCTGGTTTTAAAAGCGCGAATCGCATGCTTGTTCTGGCCTAGCCCTAACCGATGAAGTTTGGCGCTCCCTTTCTGAATGCGGCTGTTTGAGGTCTTTACCCGCCTCCTTCTGCCTCCAGACGAATCCGCCCCCAAGTCTTTGACGAGACTTTGCACCTGCGGCTCTTTGACCTTTCTCCTGATACGGAGCTCTTTTTCCGCAGACCCATCCGAGCAAACAAAGGCTGACTTCCGGATGCTAAGTTGCAGCCTGGCTGCTCCTAGCTCCAACTGAAGCATGCGGAACACTGCAAGTGCCTGCCTTGCTGCTGCCTGCGGTTCGCGGTGCTCGACATCGACTGAGATGTCGTCCAGCCATACATCCATGGACTGGATCTGGTTCGACTGGTAAACCTTCTGGCAAGTGGGAAACAACGCCAACTTTGCCAAGGCAGGGGCAATGGGGCAGCCTGCCATTATGCCCCTGCTGGCCCATATGGGGTGAGAAACTCGACCCTCAGAAGAGATCAGTCTTTCGCCTCGATATATCTGGAGCGCTATATTGAGGACGACCTGGGGGTAACTCAGGATTTTGGCTTGTTGGATCAGCAGCTCGTGCTCCACTGTCTCATAAAAAGTAGTGAGGTCGATGAAGATACTCGCCCGACTTAAACCTCTCGATCGGCTAATTTCGGAGAGGAAGACTCTGCGGACTGAAATGTCCAAACAAGCTTGTCCTGGACGAGCCGCGTCCCACGGAGCCACAAGCTCAAAACGGGCCATCCACTCAGCCACCAGGTTGAACCTGGCTTGGGTCCAAAGCTTGTACGCCACATGGCATAGTGCAATCGGGCGTTCGATTTCTACCGACTTAACAAGCATGGTGACCTGTGTGGTACACCACTGATGCGGGGCCTGGCCGGTTTTTTCCACAAGGTGAAAGAATTGGGTGAGATCCTCGACCCGTTTTTCAGGCAGGGCTTTAAGGAAGGGAATCGTCCATCCATCTGGTCCTGGGGCTTTCAGAGGCAGACGTTTGATGCGGAGCATGATTGCCAGTGGGTCAAGCGGAGGGAGTAGCTCGGCCTCTCGCTGAGCGTCTGCGCGCAGTAGGGGAAAAACGGTTGGAACAGGCTCGAACTCTCCTTGCCAAATCGGTTGCCACTGGGCCAATCGGCAGTATGGACGGAGCATGGGTTCCATTGTTTGGAAAGGCCTATCAAGGCCAGATTCATGGCTTTTCATGGCGCGGAAGAGAGGCCGCATTCCTTTCTGTACGGCGCCGTCTAGCCACTCCTTGTAACGCTCCTTGTCGCTACGGACGTGCTCCTTGAGGGCCTTTGAGGCTTCGTCCTCGATCCACTTGCGGGTGTCGATGTCATCCTCCCCGGCGAGAAGGGATTTGACCTTTGCCTGTTGGGATCCTACCGTGCAGCAAAGAAAACGAAGCCCACAAAACCAACCAAGCCCCCGGGACCAAATCCGGCAAACCGAAGAGGCACCCTTGCAGAGGACTCCCGCTCTTTTCCATCGGTGGATCGCACAGAGCTCAGGAACTCTGAAGCAAGATGACATCAGCTCCGATGCTGATAAATCGACACAGCTGCTGCTGCAAACCACTGCCCCCCTGCAGACACAGGGCGGGAGGGAGGGAAAACAAGAATGCCGTCCGAAGGCACTGCAGTCACTCGAGCAAGACCACTCGACCCCACACAGTGACACACTCGGACAACTGTCGCACGTACACATGTTAAGCAACATGCAACTACAGCAACGCAATGCCTACAATGCGCCAGCAAAGCCTACCCTGCACACAACGCACTCCCGGATCCCACTTCGTGCCCAGCAAGTGTTCACCCCGCGGGATCCTACCGTGCAGCAAAGAAAACGAAGCCCACAAAACCAACCAAGCCCCCGGGACCAAATCCGGCAAACCGAAGAGGCACCCTTGCAGAGGACTCCCGCTCTTTTCCATCGGTGGATCGCACAGAGCTCAGGAACTCTGAAGCAAGATGACATCAGCTCCGATGCTGATAAATCGACACAGCTGCTGCTGCAAACCACTGCCACTCTCGAAGAGCAAGCAGCAGCCAAAACCCAAGAAGCAGCGGTCTGAACAGGCCTGAGCACCTACATCCAAGGATCTCTGCATTTGAGCGTGTCTTCTCTGCGCGTCTTAGGAATCCGCAGCTTGCCCTTCGTCTTGGCCTCCCTGATCGAGCCATAGAGATCGGAGCCCAAGTCAAGCATGTCCGAAAGCAAAATGCCACGAAACTCATCCACCGAAAACCGCAACCGCTTATGATCGCTGAAGCCGGTGAAATCACCATTAGTGAGCCGGTCTGCTTCGACATTCTGGAGCCTGGGAAGCCATCTCAACTGCAGCTCTGACGACTTCATCTGAAGCTGCATGGCGAGTTCCAATAAAAAGGCACATAGGGGAAATTTCGTCGTCATCAACTTTGAGACGGCAAAGGCGTTGCCGCGATTGTCGGTGCTAGCTGAGCAAGCACAGCCAAGATGTTGACCCCCTGGAACGCCAAAGAGTACTACTGCTGTCAAGGTCGCGAGAAGCTCCAAAGATGCAATGGCACGATAGGACTCTCCGGCCAGAAAGAGCCATTTGCCTGTGTTGTGCGAGATGCGCTCTGCAAACCAGCGGCACTCTGACAACGTGCCATTGTCTAACGCGAAGCCCCCGATCCACACCTCGTCGCCTTCGGCCCGGGCATCCGTCCGAAAGAGCTCTCTTTCTGCATCACAGTGGTCGGCGACTGCCGCATTTCTCCCAAGTCTTTCTAGCGAAGCCTTCAAGAAGTTCAAGAGCACGACCACCAGCTTTGGCAAGGGAAGACTGTGGAAGGATCCCATCGCTGCACTCCAGGCATACAGCGGTCCCAAGAGCGGTCGGAAGTTGGGAAGTACAGTGAACGCAAACGAAAGCCTGCCGAGCACTGCGCGAAAATCTGCCATTCGAACTGCACCAGCATCCACAGTATGCGACACCCAGGAGATTATCCATTTTGCCCTTCCCTCAGTGAGTCCTAAGGCTCTCTCAGCCAGTGTCAACTCGAAACCGACCCACTTGCACACGAGGCCACCCGAAAACTTCTTCCAAGCAAACGGCAACCCCAGTGCTGAGTAGTAAAAGATCACTGTGATCAGCTTCTCAATGCCGCCTTTGTCGCCGACGAGCCAGAGAAGATCGTCGACGTAAACAAGTTGCATCCAGCCGAACTTGCCGAACAAGAAGAACGCTGAGCGCCCAAGTCCTGACATCAGACGACACCAGTGGTACGCAGCTGACGAGACACCAAAGGTACCCACGCAGTTCACCCATATTACGTCATCTCTCTTGGTGCCAGTGCGACAGCAAAGATGCTTCCAGTCACGCTTTGCAATCTTTACGAGGCGATGGGCACGCGCCACATCCCCTGAGAGGGCGAAGAACGCTGTAGGCAAAGTCTGCAAAGCTCGCCGAAGGTCTCCGGCCCCAGGGCAGCGCATCTGATCCCGAACCTTTATCACACTGTTGACAGACAGGCCATGCGTTGCGTCATGGGTCACCCTGTAGGATCCATCTTTCTTCTCGATGGCTCCAAGCGAGGCGACTGACACTTCGCCGAGCTCCCTGCACGCAGCCTCCAAGTCCGTCTCGTACATGGCACCAAGCTCCGCTTCGATCTCAAACTGTTTTTGCACTTCTGCTGCATGTTCTTTAGCGGATACATAGTTGTCCCGAAGCACCGTCCCGTCAGGACCATCTGGGTAGGTCCTCCATCGATCCTTGGCAGTGAAAACAGCAGGCACGCGTGGCAGCTCCACACCGACACCTAGGCGCACTCCTTTCGCAAAGGAGTCTTGACTTGTGTAAAACGCAGCAGAATCTGGATCCCCAGCCAGCCGTAGCAGTTCCTCGATGGCCGCGAGGTAGAAGGGCTGACCAGGGCTCTTCTCCTCTACAGGTAGCTGGCATCCCGCATCACGAAGCTCCTTCCAGATGATGCTTCTGCCTTCCTCCAGCATTTCGTCACTGAAGGGGGCCTCCTTGACAACACCTGCAGCAAGCTTAAACGCCAAGTCACGCACATTGAGCTTTGCGCCCACAAAGTTATGCAGCTTTGTCGCAAGGCGCTGATGGAAGGACAACTTCACATTCTCGTAAGCATCCTGCCTGGCAGAGGGAGGCCATCGACCAGGGGAGCACAGACCGCAACCATCGGTGAAAGGCTTCCGTGCACCACCCATACGACAGTACAGCGGTGGCCCTGTCCCTCGCAAACCAGCGATGCGAATACCGTCGCCTCCTTCTTCATACTCTAGGCCAGAGTAAGCACGGCTGGGAAAGATATTGTTCCAAAGTTCCTCTTCATCACCAGACGCGGCCTCATCTGCAGTGGCCACAGACTTTCGCTTGCCAGGATCAGCAACTGCACGCTGCGCAACCGACCCCCCTTCAGGCAGCAGCGGGCCAGAAGAGGAAGAAACTTGCATTCAGTCAGCTTGGGCAGTCCCCGTGTTCGGGGGAGCTTTACGGAACTTGCACTTCTGGAAAGAATGCTTCCCAAAGCAGCGCCAGCACACATGCGCGAAACGGCAGGAAGGATCGTTGCAACCCGATTCCTTGTTGAACTTGAAGCATAGAGCCCTGCCATCAGGAGTCTTGTTAGACTTCCCCCATTGCCGCCCCCAATCCGGAGCTTTGCCGCCGCCTTTGCCCTTGCCACCTTTCCCATGATGCAGCCAAGGCACCTTTGTCAAGTCGGGCATATCCACAGGATCCTCGGCCTTGCCCAAGGTGAACGGGACGATAAAGTGTGTGGTCAAAACCTCCGGGGCATCACACGCCTTCTCAAGAGCAGCACGCAAGTCTTTGCACTGACCGTCGCGAATGTAGCGATACGCGGCTTTGCGAAGCTCTTGCTCATAGCTCAACACCAAGGACCAGGTGGGGCCTTGGCCTGAAGCACTCCGAAGTCCGGCTACTGCCGAGCCTAAAACATGGTCCGATAGCACACGGAAGCAATCCACACAATTGTCAGGAACCCAAGCTCGGGTGGAATGCCGCGTCTTCACGAAATCCCACGCCAAGCCGATGCGACGATGGCGAAGACGAAGCTCTTCTGGTGACCCTGGGGGTATTGTAGACGCGCGACCAGGCTTGATGCGCAGCATGGCTGTGGCAGGGTCGATAATGGCGCTGTAGGCCTCCCCCTCCACGTCCTCGTAAGACGTCACATCCCTAAGATCTTCGGCCTTGGGGACCCCGTCCTCAAGTTGCTCGAGCTTGGAGGCAACCAAGGCCTTGCTCGGAGCCTCGCGATCCTTGAGAGTACGATTCAAGACTTGCTCGACCCTGGTGCGCATCGCACCGTATTCGGAGGACTGCATGAGCCGATTTTGTGTCCCTTGTTTTGCCTCTTCTTTGTTCTTTGCCTGGTACGTCAACTGAGAGCGAGCCCCTTCCCAAACAGCCAGCAAGAGGGCGATCTCCTTGCGCATGGCAGGGCTCTCGTTGCTGTCGAGCTTGAAGGAGGACTTCAGCGCCGCCCGCACACCCTCGCGGGTCTCTTCCAATCCAGCGAAGACGCGCACGGAAGTGAAGCCTTCTGCATAGATTGCCTTCTGCACGTCCGCGCTGACGCCTGCTTCCTCCATCTGGAAGCGAAGATCCGCATCTGCCGAAGCGAGCACATCTACCGTCATGCTGCAAGCGCTAGACGACCCTAGCACAAGAAAGGAAACGCGATGAACACTTGGAGCCACAGACACTTCTGCGAGCCATAAGCATTGGCATCCGCCAACTCCCGCGAATCCTCGCGACATGCACGCAGCGAAGACTTACGCTGCAGACACTAGAGGCGCACACCCGCGCTCTCTAATGCAAGAAAAAACATCGCGCAGGCGCGACAAAAGACGCATGCCCTACTATTCGTACAGGCAGCGCCGAACATGGGACCTATCGAACCTACCCTAGGCCCTACACAATCCCTGCTCGTTGGAGCAGTACCGGCAGTTTAGTCTTCACTGTCACTTGCACTGCCCGAGTCGTCTGCTTCCTCGGCTTCCGAAACGGTGGATTCCCCAGGGCGCCAACAATGCTGACAAGCCAAATTGTACATGAGCCCCTTCAAATGCCAAACGGGCTCCGACTCTTGCACTTCCAGCACCGACACGCCGCATCCCCCGCGGCGATGGAGCCTGCGTAGCCGCTTGTTGCCCACGACGGTAACAAAATACGGGCTTTGCGATTCTGCATCATCGACTTCCTCAGCAACCTCCAGAGACACTGCAGGGGCAGGGTCGAGTGGCTCGGGCACACGCAGACACCATCTTTCAGGCAAGAGCGCTGACGCTTGATTAGGCCGGAATCAACCCCGCGAGCACGCAGGTGAGACTCAAGCTCATCCAGACCAGCATTGCGAAGATCCCATCGATCTGGACCACAGAAGTAAGTAACCAGCTTTTCTTGCAGACCAACCACAACCTGTTGAGCTGTCCGTAAGTACTCATCGGATGAGGAGATGTGCCACCTACCCACATAGTCTCGCAGCTCCTTGCTCACCTCGATCGCGGCCAGCATGCTGTTGAGCCAATTGCGCTCCGAGTGTTCTTTCCAGAAAACGGCGGCAGCATCGCAGAGGAGCAACGGGTTCTCGGACTGCAACCATTTGGAGCCTTGTCGACGCGGGACAGACAAGCGACGCAACAACTGAACACTCAGGCCGGCAGAGTCAGCATACTCTGCCATCCGTTTGCAGGCACCGCTCCAGTCCGGTTTCGGCATCGGGAGGAAATAGTCTCGGCCAAAAGACATCGCAGGATCTGACCAAACTTTCCAACCCACGCTGAGCCAATCAGGTGCCATGAAGTACGCACTATGACTGATGTAGATTGGAAGATGACGAATCCGCTTGCCAGCACCCGTAGTCTTCGTCTTCTCGAGCACGCCAACCAGGCCCAGGCGATTCAGACGCAGACTAGAAGGATTTAAACCACATAAGTCACTGGTGCGGCACGCAGTCCACAACTTCAGAAGCTTGCAGAAAGCTAAACCACGCGCATATAGAGGTGCCTGAGCATCGACGACCCTGAGCTCCAAGGACCCCACCATCACCAGGGGCAGAAGCGGGGCTTTCTTGGTCGGGGGGGCGCCGACCTCCAGGTCATGCGTTGCTTGGTTCACAAAATTCCGAAGAATCTGCGACGCTGAAACCCGATCGGGCCCTGGAACGCAGCCAACTTTTTCCATGAAAGCAAATGCCGAGACAACAGCTTCTGGCACAGTGCGACCGCAAGGTTCGTCCACACGCTCACGCAAATAATCCAGCACGATGCCCACGTGAGAAGGCCATGGACATCCACAGGCACCCAGGCTGAAGATACGGACCCTGCGCCACTCGCGAACCTTCTTGCGAATAGTGGAAGCCCTCATAGAACCCAGAGACGCAACAATGATTTCCTCAGGAGCAGATGCCAGTTGCGCTTGCGCAGCAATAGGTAGACCTGCTTCGGAAACCAGCTCCGCCAACTCACGCCTGCAATGAAGTAGTCTCTGCGCATCAATAGATTCACGCGACTGTCCGTCTTCAACTCGAGAAAGTTGTTTGCGACTTCGAAAGAGCAGCGTACTACTGCGCCGACAAGCACCGGACTTCGACCGCAGCCAAGATAAGGTGTCACACAGGCCAGGGGCAGTCGACTCAGACTGCGGAAGTCGACGCGCAAGAAGCACTCGCTGCCAAGCAGGATCCACAAGGCTACTGCGTTTGCAAGCGGAAGTGGCATCGCATTGCACTAGAGTCCACAAAGCACGTGCCACATGGCTCGCGCGAGCATCTCCTGGTGCATACTGCGCTACCAAGCTGGCCATGTCGTCCGCGTTGTCCACTAAGAAGGCGAGAACACTTGCAGATGGGACTAAGCCACCAGTACAACCGTACTCAGATCGAAATCTGCGAGGCAACATAGCCCACAGCTCAGCCGGGGAATCGCTGCTGCACATCTCAACAACAGAGAAAAGAGCAAGAAAACAAGAATGCCGTCCGAAGGCACTGCAGTCACTCGAGCAAGACCACTCGACCCCACACAGTGACACACTCGGACAACTGTCGCACGTACACATGTTAAGCAACATGCAACTACAGCAACGCAATGCCTACAATGCGCCAGCAAAGCCTACCCTGCACACAACGCACTCCCGGATCCCACTTCGTGCCCAGCAAGTGTTCACCCCGCTGTCGCCATTGATTTCCTGGGCCTCGGAATCCGTCAGGCCTGACAACAGGTGCTCGAGCTCTTCGGCTTTGATGATTTTTTGGGGGGTTTTATTTGCCCAGACCTGCAGCCTCTGCCATTTTGCATGATTGTCCGTGTACTGATAGACTTTGGACGGGGCCATAAGTCGACCGTGTTTCAATGACAAGGTGATGCCCCGGACTGCGGTTTCTTCGGGACACACCGTTGCCGAACACTCTTGGGCCAGGGCGGCAAATGCCAGCGAGACTTCATCAGAAATCTCACGCCCCATCCACTTGATATGCGTGATGCACGGCATTTTCCTGCTGCATCCTGCCACTTCACCAACAGGTCCATACGCAGGAAGCTGGAAAACCTTACACTGGCCCCCGATCGTGTCGCAAGTGAGGATCAGGCTAGAGTGGGGCCGATGTGGGGCAGTCCAATCTGCCGCAATGCTGGAGATGCTCCTGAGCTTGCTGCTGCAGATGCAGTAGTCAAGTTCGTTGCCACTATCACACGTAGCCTGCCCAGTCACAATCGGGTAAGCTTGTAGTTCACTGAGGATGTTGCTGGCCAGGAGCTCCTCTGGAGCCACATTCCAATCCCCTATGGCAAACCAGTGCCCAGAGTGAGCCTTTATATTTGCCATTAGGCGGGACAGGATTTCAGCGTTTGGGTGCGAATCATACGCTACTCCTGACCGCAAGTAGACGCTGAAGCACGCAATCTCCGCCTGTCTTGTTCTGACCACAACTGCAGTGAAGCCGCCTCCCTCGAAAGAGACATGATTTAAGAAACGGGCTTGCCAATGCTTACGAACCAAGATCCCCGTACCTCTGAGGACTCCTTTCCCTTGACCAGGGGAGCCCGACCCGCCATGCAACTCGTAGCCGCATCGTGCTGCTTTCCGGGCCGCTGACTCTCTTGAGTCTCCGATAAGGTGGGTTTCTTGAAGGCACACAACCGGCTCCTTGAGTTGGTCAAGCCAAGTTACAATTTCCGCCCTCCAACTGGTGACATTGGAGGAGCGAATTTGAAGTGGTTCTTTGGAGGGAAGGCTTAGCTGCTGTTGCACGTCCTTGAGAGCCATCCTCAAGGGTGATACCCCTACCGACGGGCCTCGAGAAGCACAGCTGAAAAGCTGCTCCAAAGTCCAGTGCTCCAAGAGCCCCTCGTTCTGAGGGGCTTGTTCCGCTAGTTCAATGATCGTCTCTTCGGCTTCGGCGCTGATGGCGTGCTGTCCATCGAGCTGAACCTCTAACTTGTGCCACAGCTTGGCTTGCTTTCGGATTCGTGGTTCCACAAGGGCATGCTTCTTCCTAGTTTTTTGACCAGTATGCCCTGAAGGTAGTCTGGTTCCCACTGAAGCTGTACAAGTTGCTGGGGTTTGCGTCATGTCGCTGTCGTCTAGCAAGGACGCGGGAAAGAATTTGGGGCCACTAAGGCCGACTGACGACTCCGCTTTTACAAAGGCCAGTGCTGTCTTTCTGGGAGTGGTCTTTCTCCTACTCCTAGAAAGCCACTTGTTTACACTAGCCGAACCTTCTGCACAAACAGGCTGCTCCTGCGTGCTGAAGGAGAAACTCTCTTCATGCTCCGTATCCGCCGGCAAGAGCAGGGGAGTAGCTCCTCGGTCAGAGTCGAGAGTATTCGGAGTGCTGCAAAATTGCGCCCCAAACCCTTGTGTGGGAACTGGGGCTTGCTCTTCGTGAGCCATGGTCATGTGAGTCTTGCAGGCGGAGTCCAGCCTGTTGAGAACATATTTGACCACAGGGCTCAACCGTGGGCCCTGGCTGCCCTGGGTCTCATTGCCTCCTTGCTTCGGCCTCCAATGGCGCCGAAACCTGTTACCCTCCGGAGGAGGCAGAAAAACTGGCTGCTCCAACGGTGCACATCCACCTGCTATACTGCAAAACTGTGACGCGTTCGCTGCGGGCCCTTGCCAGAGGGAGTGCCGCGCCTCACTCCTCTGTGGCCCTGTGCCCTACAGGTGCTCATCCTGATTTTCAAGGGGAGTAGCTCGACCCTCGGTTGGGCTGCTCCGAAAATCCAATCTTCTTCTTGTCGGGCCGAACTCTGTTCCCTCTGGAAAAGCCGCTCCTATCAACTCGGCGGGTACTCCCACCTCCTTCTTCCAGGTGGGAAAATTCTGGGGCTCCCCTTCTTCAGCCTCGTGCCTGAGATGCTTGTTCAGCTGCGCCTGCTGCTCAGGCGTGAGGGCAATGCCGGCACATCTTAGGAGCCTGCTGGCTTCGACGGCCTGCTTTGGTTGATCCTCCTTTTCAACCTGCTCCTTGACTGCAGATTGGATCTTGAGGATGTCCTGCTCTTTCTGGGAGATTTTCTCCGACATTGCTGCAAGTTCTTTCATACTCTGCTCAAACTGTTCCTTGAGCCTTTCGGTGCGGCTTTGGAGTTGAACCTTCTTGGCAATGAGCGAGCGAAGCTCATTCGTGTTCTGTTTGTAGGCCGCCATTGTTTTCTGAAGTCGCACTTTTGGTGGAACCTCCTCCATTTGCTCATCCTTGGGCTCCTCGATGCCGGCTTCCTTGAGCAGAATCTTGGCTGCTTCATCTGCTCCGTTCCACAGGCTCTGTGCGGCCTCCTTGTATTCTTGATCAGACATGGCTCCCCTGGCTTCCAGGCCCGGGGGTGGTTGCGGGTGCGTCGGGGTCCAGCCTGCCGCTTCTAACGCAGTCCGGGCTCCTTCGTCCAGGTGCTGCCATGCCTGATCTAGGGCCTTCACAGCTCTGTGGCCCTTTTGAGCTTTTGGGGAGATTCTCACCCTCTCTGGCGTCCACTTCCTCTCAGTGCCCCAGGACCAATTCCCCGTTTTCTTTGGCTTCTTTTTCCACGGTTTGCCACAATGCCAACAGGTGGGATACCAAGCTAGGTCCTGGCGAGGAACCCATCCTGTGAAGCAATGCTCGCAGGTTGTGAAGCTCATCTTGGTCAGGAAGAGCCAAGTAGAAAACAGAGGCTCCTAACCTGAAGGAAGGGCTCAGATGTTGGACTTATTGAGTTCGGCACACCACTTCTGCCGGCGGGCCTCCGACAGAAGTTTCCCAGCGTCAACGATCCAGTCGTTCCTGGTCTTAGACCAACGAGCCAAAGCACGGAGTTGGTTTGTGACCCTCTGCCCCGGTGTGAGGTCGCGGGCACTGGGCTGCTCCTCGAACTCGGCTTGTAAATAGGGCTTGATTGATTCCTCCAAGGGAACCCTCTCGGCTACCCCAAAGCGCTGCACCTCGGGGGTGCGAGATCGCTCTCTGCCCGCCGTGGTGTGGGGGACCCCAGGCCGGAGGCCGGAGGGAACAAGGAGAGACTCACTTGCTGCTCAGCCTAGCAACAAGGGAGAGACTCACCTTGCACTGGCACACAGATGGCTCTAACTACGGACAAGCTGGGGTTGAATGAGGCCTGTTCCCCAACGACTGTTTGAGGACTCGAGGCTGGTTCACCACAGCTACCGCTCAGCTACTGTGTGCACCCCACCGGGGTTGAGCCGAAACTTGAGCCAGGTGAATTTTTCTTCTCGAAGCGCGAAGCGCGGCCGCCGAAACGGCAATCCTAAGAAACCCGGGCGGCTACCTTGAGCCAGGCCTGGGGGAAAAGGGTTTTGACACCTACAGCCTACACACCCACAGTCGTTGTGACTAGGCGTGCTTGCCTACGGCACTGCTTACCCGGGCGCTTTCCAGGCCGGTGCTGAGCCCAAAATCCCACAGGAAACATGAGGTGAGAAAAGAAAGCCTTGGTCACTACAGGCTACAGGACCTATGCCATCACATGGAGGGACTCTGAATGGTCAACCCCCAGCGTCTTCTTCAACTTGGAACTGCACTATACAGGGCTAGGCCTCCTGTGTTGCTGCCCCGCCCCAATGCACTTGGCAGGGAGGAGAACCCCCAAGGCCTGGGGGCGGGGGGCCTTCAGCTCACCTTCTCTGGGCTGGACGTTAACTGGCGCAGCAGGGTTTTGTCCCCTCAATTTGTAGTTAAGCGCGGGGACCACGCACTCCCCCCAATTTTAGGCGCAGGGAGCGACGCTTTCCCATCGACTATGGAGGCGCTGGGAACGACGCCCCAAAACCCTGCTGCAACGAGGTGGCCCCTGCGTTCTCGCTCTTACTAACAGGGGCCAGAGCACCCATGCCGCAGCAGCTCTGGGCACTCGGCTACCTCTACCAACCAAAATCCACCCCATTGACGGGCAGTGGAGTGGCGCACTGCCCTTGCATTCTTGAACACAGGCAGCAGAGTGGCCATAAAGGCCCCCTGTCTGCCAAAATTACCTCCAAACGGGGAGGGAAAACCACCCCAAAGACGGGGAAAGGAGTGGAAGTACTGCCCTCGCGTGCATGCCACGGGCAGCAGAGTGGCCATCAAGGCCACATGTTGGCCAAACTTACCTCCAGCCGGGGAGGAAAAGTGCTAAACTTCAAGTCGCTCTTTTTCCTTGAACCAGTAAAAGCGCTGTCGGTAAAACATGAGTCACAAATCCACACATGCTCATCAACCCTTTTGGGTTGGTAGGTGGGGTTCCCAGGTAGTAGAAAAACTTTACACCCCGCCTTGATGTTGTGCGAACTGTAAGCTCAACATCACTCTACAGTAACGGGTTTGTAGAAACTGTACAGGTATGTCGTTGGGCTCATCTGGTATTGTGCGATGGCCTCGTTGTGCTCTCCCTATTGGAGTCCTTGCACTCGGTGAAAACTGTTCCCACTGCTTCCTCGTGGGTAACACTTCGCTCAGGTAAGCTTGTACTCGCTGTAGCTCACACTGTACGGAAAAGTGAAACATTCCATCATTCACTCACATGGTCCCGGGCCTGCAATTGCCACAAGGACGGTAGTGCAATCTCGCATGCACTGCTGCACTGTAAGTGAATCTCTCTGACCTTTGCACATCTGCACATGTAGGTCGGTGGTACCTCTTGCCATGAGGCGTGTACACATACTGGGGTTGTGCTTGTAGCTGTTCGTCCACATCCTGTGCCATAGGAATGATATTAACCATTCCCCATTCTTGAAATCGCCTTGCAAGCTCTTCGTCATTCACATGGATTTGGCTTGCTGGTACTGTACTGATTCCAGGCATCCCATTACCACTGCCTGTCGCTGAATCCTCTGGTGCATCACGGAAATACATATTGACTGCCCTTGCTGTACGTTGAACATCATCCTCATCGGGCGGACAATACTTTTGCACAAATCTTCGAATAGTGAATTCCTCCTGCGGTTCCTGTGGTCCTTCTTCCTGCGGTTCCTGTGGTCCTTCTTCCTGTGGTTCCTGTGGTCTTCTTCCTGCGGTTCCTGTGGTCCTTCTTCCTGTGGTTCCTGTGGTCCTTCTTCCTGTGGTTCCTGTGGTCCTTCTTCCTGTGGTTCCTGTCGTCCTTCGTTCACCTTCTGCTCGACCATGTAGAACAAGAGTAAAGCGAAAATTCCTCCTAGTAGCACACTGAAAAGAATAATCCATCCACTCACTTCCTTCACATAGATGAAAACAAATTCTCGTTCTTCTCGTTCTCGTCCTCCAAAATCGTCTGGCTGTCCTGCAATCTGAGAAATCATATTCACCATCATTGTCAAGTACATCGCTCTAGCCGTCTTGCTTCCTCGCTCACTCAACAAAGTTGCACGTAGTGCTCGAACTTGGCTTCGGCAAACTTCACCTGCCACATGTTCCATTGCTTCTTCTTTCCCATAACGCTCATGACTTTCTCCATTCCACACCATGGCTCCAATATGGTACATGAGAAATCTCCTTCGAGATACTCCTAAGCGTTTTGTATTCAAGTCGGCAATGTTTAATTTGGTAGGCACTGGCTTTGCTTTGAAGCTGTTGTTCTTCACCCCTCGCTGAAGCCATAATACTCTCAGATCGATATGTTTGAGTCCTCCGACTCCTGTTCGCATCATCCATTGTCTTCCCGCACTTGAATCCATCCGGATCTCCACGAGTAACTTTCCTGCAAGAAACATCCACAACTTCTTCAGTAACATCGCTTCTGATGCTCCTCCTGAGCATGCTAGCACTTCGGACTCTGCCGAACTTAAAGCTGTAGCTTTCTGGGTCCTGCTATACGAAAGTACTGGCACTGCATTCACACACACAATCACTGATGATGTAGACCATCTCGCTTCACGGTCTGATGCCCAATCTGCATCCGTGAATACTTCCATACTGTGTGTTCCTTTCTTTTCTTCGTCTTCTTCTTCTTGCTCTTCTCTTTGATAGATCGCATCCATCATCTTGTTTCCAACCTTTGTGTACTTCAGTAGGAATCCCAGTTGCTCTGTTCCTTGCACATAGAGCAAAGCTTGTTTCAAACAGGTTAACGCTTGTTCCGTTGGCTTCGACATCTTACTTGCCAAACACTTCGTCACATGCTGTAAATCCCATCGGTCTTGGGAAATGTACAACAGTGTTCCCAACGCTGAACGAAACTTCTTGCACTCGTTCTCCTCCAGTTCTTTGGAATTGTCCACTGTTCCAATCAGCTGGTGCTCTGGGGTTTGTCTTGGCTTTCGGTTCCCCAGCTTGTAGAGTCCTTTAAGCTTCTCGTAGTGCTTCTTCGACACTGTCACCAAAATTCCTTCTTCAAGGAACTCATAGGTCCTCTTCAGGTAATGAAGCTGTTCTCCCGATCCCCGGTGGGATGGGAACGGTCCCTCAACTGTGAGCTTGAAAAACTTCTCTAGCTCGCATATCAGCCATCTTCCTTCGCCTTTCGCACCTGCAACTAGCTCGTCGTCGACATGAATCGACACTGCAATCTTCTTCACTCGGTGCTTCAAGATTGAGGGTATCCCAACAAATTGCTCAGATCCCAAACGCTTCAAAATCTCAACCAAATGGGTAAACCATTGTTCTGCCGCTGATCTTTGCCCTGGCAGACACTTCTCCACTTTCCATACATGGTCTTCATCCAAACCAAGTAGTGTTCGAATCCACGGTGAGATATCAGCATACATCAGAGCTTTCTGCTTGACTTGCAAGAATGCGTCACGAATGTCAAGAACTGTAAGCTCCCAATTGTAGATGAGATGAAAAAGAAACATCATTCGCACTGCTGCGTGTCCTGACGTAGGACTAAAAGTCTCCTCCGTGCTCTGGGCTCCCGCACGGAATTCCCGACACACAATTCTGCATCTACGCTTCCAAACTCCATCTCTCTTTCTCCAATCGAAAACTGTCCTTAGTGTCAGAAACTTACCTTCCTCTGAACACTCTTCCTTCTTGATCGTCTTCACAACCTTCATGTTGGCGAGTTTGTCAAGTTCAGCTTTTCCTGCCTCTGCATCCAATCTTTCAAGTTCCTCTTCGCTGACTTTCGGTGGTCGATCCTCATCTTCTTCTTCTCCTTCACTATCCGCTTCATATTCCTCTTCGCATTCCTTCCAGACTCTTTCTTCCCAAAGGTCATCTTCATGATATCCTGTTTCGTCTTCCTGTTCTTCTACCTGTCCGGCGTACAACGGTGGAAATAGACTTCCTTTCGGACTTCCAGGATCAGCACTTGTAGGTGAACTTTCCGCAGTCTTTTGTTGCTTCGTTGGTGGCTCCTCAGCATCTGCTGTTTTACTAGCTTTCGCAGGTTCCTCTCTTTCTTCTCCTTCAGTTTCTCTCTTTTGTCCCCCGCCTTGGTTGGAATCCGTTGATGAACTTCGAGGTGTAGGTTGACCACTGCTCAGCAATAGATCACTGATTGTGTCATGCTTTGAACTTTCCACATCAGATCCTGCTTCATCTCCTGCTGGCTCTGGCTCATTTTCTCCTCCTTCTTTCTCTTTGCCTGGTTCTTCCACGATTCTCGGTAACGGTGCCGCATGCGCGGTGTGCCCTAGCCTTGGGGCTTTCTTCGTCCAAGGAGAACCCTGAAGTTGAAGGGTCTCACGTGCGCGCCACGCTGGTTGTGTGCGCCGCACAGATCTTGACGTAAAGATCCCATCTTTTGATGTAATCACGTCCATGTCCCGGTCGTCCTTTCCAACCCATATTCCTCCTGTCCACAAGGATCGATTCTTCACTCCTCCAGGCTTGGCCAGACCAAACACATACTCTCCGAAGGGTAAAATCTGCCCTTGGTATGGTCTCCCGTAGACCAATTGGAAAGCTGTACTCTGCGTCCCTGAGTGTAGGTGGTACCTGTTGAACAACCATGCTGCGTGGTGAATTGCCCACGCTCGTAAAGCATGATCTTCAGGAATCTTTTCCCCAATCCGATCCTCGACCATTTCAATCATCGTGAGGCTTTGTCTCCTGAGGTTCTGAATGTGGCGTTCCACTCTCGCTGTTCTTCCTTTGTGGTAGGGCTTGTTTGGATACTTTCCAGCCTTGTAGCCTAACTTTTGTCGTATTGCTACAATCAAATCCAGTAAGGCTGTTGTCGCTGGCTCCACATCAATCGCAAACAGAACTTCTTCGGAAATGTAGTTCATCTCGAGAGAAAACTTCACCACTTTCTCGGCCAACTTCTTCGTCGGTGCTTTCCCCGGCACTGGAATCGCCCACGAAAATCGAGTCCATGAATCAAGAATGATCAGACTCACACTGTTCTGACCCATGTACATGAAGTCCATCTGGATCACTGGCTTTCCTGGGTCTTCATACTTTGCTTCACTGCTTTGTGGGGTATGGTCCTGTTTCGACTTTGCTGCTGCACAGAAATCACACCATGGTTGCATTGGCATGTGGGTTGCCATATGCTCTTCAATCTCTGCTTCTGTCGGTTCGGGCACTCCGGGTCTTGTTCTTGCTTTGGGCCTTTGCTTCCTCAGCCTGTCTGCAACTTCTTCTGCGTCCTCATCTCTGTCTTCGGTGAGGTAGTTGCACAGTCTCCTGAACATCTTCACCTTTGACCCTGAGACGCTCAAACCCAAATACCGACAACCTTCTCGCAGCTTCTCAATCTCACTCGTTGCTGTGAGTGACTCTCCATTCACCACAATAGTACTTCCCATGTCGAGTTCCAACTCTTGGTGTCCTCCTGCCTTTCCTTGCTGCTTCACAACTCCTTTCGGCACTGGCACCTGCAACTCTTCTGGAGCTCCTCTTTCTCTTCCAAACCATTCTGGCTCCTCTTCCATCTTCTTTTCTTCCTCCTTTGGTGCTTCTTCTGGTGCTACCTCTTCTACCAAGCACTTGTCCAGATACTCTGGTGTCCTGTGCAAGAATGTGAGAATTTCTGATCGAAAAAGCAATCCCGGTATTCGATCTTCCAAGTCGGATTTTCGCTCGAGCAATTCCGTTGCTTCAATCACTTCCCATTCGTTGCCCACCTTCACGATGGTGGTCCTGTACTTCCAAGTACCTGTCGGTGGCTTTACAAACTCAAGTCCAAAATGGCGATGGACTGGCGTTCCATTCGGTAGAAGGCTCCAATCCTTCTCTGGGACTTTACCAAAGTCATAGGCCAAAGTCACCTTGACTGCCCTGACTTGCTCGACTCCTCTAACTTCCGCTGTCAATCTCAAGCTATTCCTCTGGTATTCCACAGGCACCCGTGCCTTACCATCGGGAGATACAAGTTCCCCCGCCTGGGTTTCTTCTCCCCAGGTCTCGCCCCCCTGGCGCTGTTTGCACCCCACTGACACAAACTTCCATCCATTTTTGAGTAGCCTTCCTAAAGACAGCAAGATGTTATTGGTGTCCGACAACACAAAGTCCTCAGTCACACTGCAGCTACTGAACTGCAAAACTGCTCGCCGCATACCTTCAACTCGCATCGCACCCCCTTGTGCGTCTTGCAACCTCAGAGAGGTTGGGGTCGAAACTTCGACGCCTGCATCCGACAATCTTCGTGGTAACAAACTCACATCTGCTCCTGAATCCAAGATCACCACATGTTGCTTTGTGTCCAACTGGACCATTCGCACATTGAGAGGTTCCGATCCTCCCTGACTCAGAGGTTCCAATCCTCCTTGATTCAGAGGTTCCAATCCTCCTGGAGGTCCCAATCCTCCTTGAACTCTTTCCAAGCTGTTTTCATACCATTGATACAGCTCATCACTCTCATGATCTTGTTTGTTCTCACTCTCATCCCCGATGTAGTAGCACTCTGGTCCTTGCACCTCTATCCTTCTGGTGAACCAATCACCTTCTTCTTCTGAAACTTCGCTAAGCTCATAGTGCTCTGTGCCGTCAGGTGGTGTGTTCGCAATGTGATGGAAATCAATGTTCCTCACTCTCCTTATCCTGTATTGGCTCGCACTCTGCGACGGAGTAACAGACTCGACTGTCGAGTGGGGTACCTCGGTGCTGGCCTCGCTCGCCTGCACTTCTCGAACATTGCGGTTTGGACACTCGTTTCCCCAATGTCCTCGCTGCTTGCAGAATCGGCAAACATCTCTGTCCAACTTCTTTCCTCCACCTTTCTTTCCTCCTTTGCCATGCTTTCCACCTTTCTTTCCGCCTTTCTTTCCTCCTTTGTGGAAACCTTTGCCTCGTCCTTTCTTTCCTCCTTTGTAGCTTCCTTTTCGTCCACCTTTTCTCCATTGGCGAAATCCTGCTCCAAAGCTTGACCACGAGTAGGATCCTTTTCCTCCTTTGTTTCCTTTGTTGCCTTTGTTTCCTTTTCCTCCTCCTTTCTCGTACACTGCATCCACTTCCATTGGTGCTGGTCCTTGATCTGCATTCGAACTGCTCGCTGTGTTCTGCAAGGTCTTTTGCTTCAACACCGTCTGGTAATCCCAAGTTTTGCTGCTTTGCTCGTATGAAAGAATCGCTTGCTTCACTGACATGTAGTTTGTTCCTTCGCGCATTGTCAAAGTAAGGTGGTCTCGAATCGCCCTCGGTGAACATCGAAGCAAAACTCCCATCAACAAATCTCGATCGTAGGTCTTTCCTGAAGCGATCTCGTACTCCCGAACAAGGTTTTCCAGTGAACCAATCTGCTCCACCATGCTCTTGCCCCCATCGAAGTTGGGAAACATCCCAATCGCTTGACTGAGGGTTAGAGCTCGTTGTTTGGTGGCTGGTTGGTATTCCCAAAGCAAACTTTGATAGAGACGATACCCACATCGCTCCCTGCTCCAATTTCGAGACAGTTGCGTTGCTGCTCCCCGCATATACGAAGTCAGTATGTGGTAAAGCTTTGTCGAAAGTTCTCTCTCCACTGTAGTGAGAGTCGAAACATCGATCGGCGTTGCTCCCAGACTTTCAATCATACTTAGAGCTTCTGAGTACTGCGAATCGGCAAAACCTAGCCAATTCAGAAACTGATGTTTCCAGGTTGTAAAATCCGGTGGATGCTCTCCCGAGGCTTGTGGGTTCCAAACATCTGGTGCCTTGATCGCCTTTGTCGCACTTTCAATCCTTCGGTTCAGATCATCCGAACTGCTTGCTTGTTGCTCCAACCTTTGTAGCGCACTCATTCCAACCTGGGTCGCCCTTGTCAATGCAGTCAGAATTTCAGAAAGTTCTGTGGGTTGTTGGGGTGGTCCATTCTGCTGCATCCCTTGCACTGCAGAAAACTGTAACACGACAAGCACACACAGCATCGCTCCTCTCTGTTGTTTTCTCACACAAGCACACGAACGCAAGTGATCTCTCCGTGCCCCTCTGCTCAAGCGCCTCCGAAAACATGAATGTTGCAATCTCCACAAACATGACTGACGACATGACTGCAAGTGCACTGTCGCTTGCAAACATCCAATGCACAACATGATCGCACCTGATACTCCAAGCATAAGCATCATTGCCATTGCTCCATTGTAATCGAATTGCATAGTCTTGGGGTCGTAGAGGTTCTTTGCTCCTGGAATACTGGTCCAAATCCACATCACCAATGGATCTCTTGTTCCATTCATAGTCTTGTCGGAGTAGAGGCTCTTGTTTGTACATAGGCCATAGAATTTTGATTCCTCCTGGTAGTCGATCTCTGTTTTCTCCTCCTGGTAGTCGATCTCTGCTTTCTCCTTCTGGTAGTCGACCTCTTTCTCCTTCTGGTAGTCGTCCTGACCAATCTCCCCATTCATCTTCCTCATTTCCAGGGTTTGGCTCCTCGCCCCTTTCTCGCATTCTCCTCCTTTCTGCTCTCCTCCAAGGAGAATTCGGGTAGAGCGTAGTGGCTTGCGTTGCTCCCACTCGCTTCGGTGGTGGTCCCTTTGGCTCTGGAGGTGGCGCCTTGCTTCCAGCAGGTCGTTCCTTCGGAGGTGGTCCTCTGGAACTGCTCCCTGGTTCAGCTCTCGCATCTTCCATCCTGGGTTGTAGGGTCCCAGGCCCCGTCCTGGGTTGTAGGGTCCCAGGCCCCGTGTCTCGGCTGGAACTCGCTGTTCCACTGCTTTGGCGTCGCTGGCCGTACCTGGCCCGAAAGTATGCAACTCCACGAGCAAATTCCTTGGATTCCCTGGCTCTTGCTTCGTCTCCTGAAGGAATTGCACCGGCACGTCTTGCAGCATACTCTTCCTCATTCCGGCGGATGTGTTCCGCCACTGCTGCGTTGCTGGGTTCCCCGTCCAGCGTGTGAAGAGGAAGCTTCGTACCACTCGGCATTGGGTCCGGAGGTGGACACTCTGGAGCTCGTTCTTCTCCTGGCGGTGGACACTCTGGAGCTTGCTCTGGTTCTGGGCCCGCTGGTGGCGGTGGCCCTCCTGACTTTGGAAACCGAACTGGTTCCTGCAAGGCTCGTTCCCTTGCTCGCCGTTGGATCCTTTCCGTCTCTGCTGCGAGTGCAGAGAGTCTCTCCAGCTGCCTTCGCCTGCGTTGCTCAGCAGACACTTGCTGCTCTTGCAGCTCCAAGGCGATGTGCCCAGACGAAAGTGTTCTCGGCTCCCTTCTCGGTGTAGGTGGTGCCTCTTGGTACACCATTGTAGTTTCGGGGCTAGAGGAACTAGGACTCCCGATCTCCACTGGCCCGTCTGGTTCTCCCCCTTCCAAGGGAATGTAATCTCTTCCTTCCACCACTGGTCGTTCGGGCTTCTTCTTCGGCTTTGGAGGCATATACCTTGGTGCACTTCCACTTCCTTCAGCTGCACTGCTTGCTGAAGATCCGTAGCCTTTTCCCATGCCAACACGGTGAATCTTGATCTCCTTTCTTCGTGGCTCCATTTCTTCTTCTTGTTCCCCTTCTTCCATGGGCTCTGCGGGTTCCATCGGCTCCATGGGTTCTGTGAGTTCCATTGGCTCCATGGGTTCTGTGAGTTCCATGGGCTCTGTAGGTTCTGTGAGCTCCATTGGCTCCACAGCATCAGGGTTCCAACCCAAACCATCATCACGGCCACGAGGCATGGCTTCGGTCCCGGATGCACAGTGTGCTCCGCTACCATGCTAAACTTCAAGTCGCTCTTTTTCCTTGAACCAGTAAAAGCGCTGTCGGTAAAACATGAGTCACAAATCCACACATGCTCATCAACCCTTTTGGGTTGGTAGGTGGGGTTCCCAGGTAGTAGAAAAACTTTACAAAAAGCCAGCGTCCAGGCCCTGCAATGTACGTTCGACTCGATGGTGAAGATCTTTGGTGCGGGCGGGCCAAATTCAATGATTTTGTGCAGAAAAGGAAATTTGACCAAAAAAGCCTTGGCGATTTCCTATACCAGCAACGTAATGTTGCTATTTGGCCCTGCAATGCACGCTCGACTCGATGTCGAAGATCTTTGATGCTGGCGGGCCAACTTCAATGATTTTGTGCAGAAAAGGAAATTTGGCCAAAAATCTTGGCGAATTCCTATACCAGCAACATCATGTTGCTATTTGGGGCTCAGCGTGTCATCCTAAACCCCAAAATAGCAGGAACGACTTGTTTGGCAGTAAAAGGACAGAAAATGGTGCCTGGACTGTAATGAATGGGTCTGCGCGAAGACAGAGAAGCGCGCACTGCCTTTGCACTGTGGCTGGGAAAGGCCCCCGGCGAAGTGGGCCGGTATACGCTCTCAAAGGTGACCTTAAACCCAACCAACCACCCTGGGCAACTGCAAGATCCAAACCTAGGTGACTGCGCGTCAAGGCCGGTGCTAAGCCCTCAAACTAAGCGCGAGGGCAAACGCACCCCTCCACACGCGCAGGTGTCGACGCTCCCCTCAACAAGCGCGGGAACCACGCCGCACCAGCCATGAAACACACCCACTGTTGGCTTGGCTTGCAGCACAGGCAGGACTCACGGTCTGGACACTCCTGGGTACCTGCATGCCCGAAACTATAAAAACAACAAGCCAGGTGAATTTTTCTTCTCGGAGCGCGAGGCGCGGCCGCCGAAGCGGCAATTCCTAAAACCGTCCTTGGGTTTTCCACCTTTGGTGGAGGAGCTTAAAACTTCTACCACACTTACTCCTCACTTTGGAGGGTTTGCTCAAGACCTCTTTGGGCCGTTGCCCTACGAGCCCTTCAAGAGGTGCCCTACTTGTTCCCCCCTAAAGGGTGGGTAAGTGTGGTGGTGGTTGCCGTGTAGGCCCATACTCCCCAAGGTGGGTGAGTGAAAACAGGCAGAGGCCATTCCGGGTTGGCTTGGGGCATCCCTGCCGGGAAGTTGTGCGAACACCATTGCAGAGTGGACGAGGGCCTAAAGAAAGCTGCCGCTACCCTACTCCTCTCTTTGGAGGTAAGCTGGACTACACAGGACTGTACAAGTACAGGCCCTGCAAGAGGTGCCCTGCTCCCCCCTTTTCGGGTGGGTAGGTGTAGCGGTGGGTGCGGCGTGGGCCCCCGCAGGTGGTGTGCACAGGTGGGTTTTGACCCCCTTCCCGGCGGGCTTACGCCTCAAGGTCTTCAATTGAGGCGAAGCACCAGTCCCCGCTACTGTTGACTCCATTGACCGTCATCGGGAGGCACAGGTTCAGCGAGGGACTAGGGATGATGACCCCTTGACGGATCAAAGTCCCAAGAACCTCCTTCCCCCCATCCGTGGCAAGGAGGCGCTGCCTGAAGGCGATGGCGAGTCGCCGTGGGCTCGAGTGGTCCGTACGGACGACGCCTCGAGCCCACGCCGCTACCTCGGGGGTGTTGGCTTCGATCCACCCCCACCATGAGGCAATGCGGACGCGTTGGGGAAAACCAAGCGGGGCATCTTGGAATGCCCAACCCCCACAATCAAGGGCCACGATTTCCGCAGGCCCTTGATCGGGCCCGTGTGGATTGGGGGGACGAACCCCCCAATTCTTTCTGTTCAGGTCCCTGACCCAAATGCCAGCACCCACAAGGGCTGTGAGGACCATGAACATGTGCAAGACCTGGAGGTTGGAGGGCTGGTCAGGCAACAGCGTAAGACGCTCAACCTCCAAGACCTCAATCTCCAGGGTCTTGAAGTCACGGATGGTGAGCTGTCCCGTCCCCACCATTCTGGTTTGCGTGGCACATAAACCTGGGAGCCGCTGCCCAATGGTTTGCTCAATCCCATGGTGGCTGGGATCTGCTTTGAGAGCAACCTTCCACACCTTGCCTTCTGAGGAAGGTGAGGTGTACACTGCTCGCGTTCCCCCTATGCCCAGGAGGCTGGAACCCTTGAAGGTTGGGAAGCAATCCAACCACAAGGTTGGGCCGAGGTTAGACAGCCAGAAGTCACGGTTGTTGCTACGGCGAACCCGGTCAACCGTGAGGTGGAGGCTGTCTGCCAAGAGAGGCCAAGGTAGAAGAGGTGCCGCCTCTCCTGACGACTCTTCGGAGCTAAACTCCTCGGTTGATTCCTGCTTGACTGGCATGGGGTCAGTGCTTGCCTCTCCCCCCTCGGCAGGTGGGGTTGGGCTCGGCTCGGGCTGGTGCCGCGGTTGGTCGGGTGAGGCTCGTCGAAGCTCTGTTGAGTTCGACGATTGCGAGGGGGACTCCGCAGCTGGTGCTTCTGCATCGGTCTCCTCTTGGCGCGGTGTGCGGCTGCGGCTCGTTGAGGGGCTTCTTGCTGCTGGAGCCCCCCGTCTGACGGGGGGGGGTGTGGGTGGTCTGGCGTGACCCCTTTCCTCTGCCGGGTGTGGGCCTGCTCGGGCGTTCTTGCCTTGCCCCTTGGGAGGTGGCCACAAACCCAGCTGCTTAAGGCGATCTCTGTCCTTCTTGGAAGGCCGCTTGAAGGGGATCTCGCCTTTACCTCCAGGAGGATGGCCCCCTTTGCCTGCTCCGGGAGGTTGGCTCCCCCCCCCCTTACCTTTGCCTTTGCCTTGAGGAGGCTGCGCCCCCTTTCCTTTGCCCTGGCCCCATCCCATATCTACAGGTTCTAAGGTAGCTAAACTGCCCTACGGCTGCTACCTGTGTTTGAGACCAGCGGCTGCAGTGTGGGGATTTTATTCCATACGGGAGGTGAGGGCAGGCAAGTGGAAATCAGGCAGGTGCAAAGGTACTGAAGGGTAGTTTAACACAAGACACTGCAAAATGCAGATTTCACATTGTTCAGACCTGAAAATCACTATCCATTTCTTGGGCCCCCAAAGAAGGTGGCGACCGACGGCGTACCCTGGGCTGCTTTATTGAGTTTAAGGGCATTCGTTGGGGGCCTCTTATTCGGGGCGTGTTGGCAGGGTCTTTCAAGGGGGCCATGGGTTAACCCCCCAACACTTTGAGTGCTACTGCATTTTGTGCACACCCATCGGTTCCCTTCATTCACCATAACGTGGGAGGCGTGCCACGTCCATGTTGGGGAGGGAACGCTGTCCGGATGACCCTTGCAGTGGTTATGGGTCTTTCGGTTGAATGTGTCTTTGGTGTCAACTTGTTGAATCCACAAACCGCAATTTTCACATTTGATTTGCAAATTGTTAACGGTGTTCCGGGTGATGACAAAGGTGTGACCTTTAACGTCTAGGGTGCCTTGCACCAAGCCTGTCAAAATTTGTTTTTTGTTAAGGCTCCCTGTTTCTTCAGGTCGTGCTGTGGTAGCGTCACCCCCTGGAATGCCATCCGCCGGATTCACGGTGGGGGAATTCAGGCCTGTGGTGGCTTGGTTGCCCCTCTGAATTTTCCGGCGTTTCTTCCACCGGTTTTTGGAGAAGGTGGATTGGTTTGAGGAGGAGCTACTGGAGGGAGGGTTGGGTCCCATCCCATTTGGGATGCGAGGAATTTAAGGCAAAAATGGGGGAAGGCCAAGAATGGCGGCGCAACATCAATGCTGAGGTTGATGCATTGGTGTCCAGACATGCCAAAGCCCTCTACAGCACTGAGCGTGCAGAAAGGCTGCAGAAACAGGACAAACTGGCTACCGATGTGGCCAGCTTTTTAGGACGCCGGCTCCTCTCCTTGCTTGAGGGAGGCAAGAAGGATGGCCCGCAAGTTGTTTTCCCTAAGGATCAACCCCAGGAAGAACCGGCCATGTAAGGCGAAGCTCATGGGTGGGCGCAGTACCAAAAATGTCTTGGTGTGCTCCTCCCCCTGCGGGGCCCCTTCTGGCACGCGCAACGGCCCCTTTGCAATCACTGGTGACATCGGTCCCTTCTGGAAGGAGAAGGGCCGCTTGTTGGATGGCTTTAGCCTCCCCTCGGTACACTGACTGCTCATTACCAAGGAGACCGGCAATGGACCCGATTCGCTTGGGCGTGTGTGTCCCCACACCATTCATAAACTATCAACCCCCACACCACGGTTTGAAGCCGCTGGTCAGTGGTGGGGCCCCTCAGTGGCCGCGAAAGCGCCTTCAGGGATTTGGTCTGGATTGCGGAGGACTCCTTGGACTTCCAGAATAGAATCTCCGAAGGGCATTTCCCTGGGAAGGTTGGGCATGAGCCCAAAATTCCACAGACAATCAGTGGATTGATGCTCCGGGTAATCTTCCCACCATCTAGGCGGTTGTTCACCATGCTTTTTCCACCATTTGCATTCCCAGAGTACATGCTTCTTGGTGGCAGGAAGGTTGCACAGGGAACACGTGGCTGTTGGAGACGCCTTGACAGCGCCTTGCCACAACGCTTGGAGCGCCGCCTTTTCTTGCTTGTTGGCTTGTTTGAGGAGCCTTCTGGGGGCTGTCCAGTCCGGTCCTGTCTCTAATCCTTTGCCACCATCTGATTGAGCAATGCGGCGGTGTCGCCTGGTGTCAATTAGATGTTTTAGCTGGAAAAGAAGTCTATGGAAGTCAGGTCCCTGACGGATGTCAAGAATGTCGCCTTCAACACGCCACTTGCTGAGGCTGATGGCCTCCCACTCCAACTCTTGAAGGTAGCACCAGGCGGCTCCAAGCGGTCCAGCCGCCCTTTTCCAGGGATGTTCAGCCTCGCTCAGCCATTGCCCGAGTTTGTTCCAGCTCTGGTGCAATCTGGCAATGTCCCTGTCGGGCCAGCTGAGAAGAAGCCTCCGTATCGCCTTGAAATGCTGCGACAAGATGGTGTAGGCTGGATCTACAACTTTGTTCGAGTGGAACTCAAGGGCTGAGTCAGTGCTGGCAAGCGTGGGTCTGCCCAAGGCTGCAGCCAGCAAACTTCTGAACCATTTGCGCCGTTTAGGCGCTACCCCAACCCCTTCATGCCCATACAAGGCAGAGGACCGGATGGAACCGTTGAAGAGTCTCACTCTGATGCTAGTGCTTTTGACTTGCAGCTTGGTCAATTTCCTGGCACGCTGCCCTCCTTTAGCGTGCCTGCCTTTGGCCACTGTGATTCGCCTCCTCTGCCCCGCAGCATAATCCAGACCAAGGTCCTTGCCTAAGGTTTTGATGGGGGGTTCATGTTCTTCAAGCAAGGATTGCAGCTCTCTGGCCGAGGCTTTGTTTGAGCAGATGAAAGCCGTTTTGGTGGTGCTGACCATCAGGCCCTGATTCTCGAGGTCAGCTTTAAGCTCCCTGTAACACTTGATGGCTTGAGCAGCGACTGTCGGCGCATGAGAATCGACAAAATCTGCTGAGCAATCGTCCACCCACAAATCGATGTGGTGTACAGGGGAGGCAGAGTGCATCTTCGAGATCGGATCGTGGAGCACAACTCTGGAAAGAGCAGGGGCGAGAGGGCAACCTGCTATGAGACCTCTTGTAGCTCGGATGGGGCGAGACAGACTCCCCTGCGCTTCTATGTATCGGCTGCCTGAGTAAAGGCTTAACGCTCTTTCAAGTAGAAGCGGGGGAAAGGAGTGTCGGACACCCTGGGCTAGGAGCTGCCAATGTGGGACAGTCTCATAGAAGGATGTTAGATCAAGGAGAAGGGTAATGGTGTGACGCTTCTCTCTTTTGTTTGTTTCAGCCCTGATTAGGCGGCGGAGGGCCGTGTCAAGGGAACTGTTCCCTGCCTTTGCCTGATTCCAGGGAGAGGTAGGGTTGTAACTGTTCTCCCACTCTGTGATAAGATGCCATCTCGCCTTGCAAAATATCCTGTGAAGGACATGGGTTAACCCAATAGGCCGTTCGGATGTTTCATTTTTGGGGAGCATGGCATACTGTGTAATATCACAGTGCTGGGGAAACTGGGCTTCGATTTCCCATTGGCGCACCATGCTAGCCAATTCAAGAATGGCTTCATGAGGTAATGCTCGGAGCATTTCATAGCACCACCCATCTGGGCCTGGGGCTTTGTTTGGGACCTTTTTTAGGAGGGAATTCCATTCCTCCACCGAAATGGGCGAGAGGTTGGCTGCTTGTTTCCTCGCTTGGTTCTGCAGGGCCAAGCGAGGGTCGGTGCCATGAGTGCCGCTCAACCCACTTGGGGCCCACATGTCAGCCCACCATGCCCTTCTGGCGTGAGGCTTAACCTCCACCGCAAGGTCCGCAAATGGGCGAGTAGTGGTGTTTTCCTCAGTCTTGAGTGCCCGGTAAAGGTGGCGCAGATGGTTTTTCCCATCACCTTGGAGCCAGGCCTCGTACTTTTTGGCTTGTTCCTGATGTGCTTTCCTCAGGTGAAGTTTTCGTTGTGTTTCGATGATTTGTCTGACCTCTTTGGCTTTGGGCCCTTCTTTTCCAAAGTGCTCTTGGACGAGGTTAACCGCTGTCTGGCACCTGAATGCATCGCATTCCTCCCAATTGAGAAGGAGTTGGGAGAGGTGGGATTGGACCACCTGCTGAAGCTTGGGACTCAGACCAATGCGGAGGCCTTGCCGGTGCCAGACCGTAAGTCTACCCCAGAATTTGGACTTCCCACCAGCCCAGACGAAACCTGTGGGTTTAGGCGGGGCTAGTGGTCCAATATGGGTTTCAACCTGGCAACCCCTGCCTCTGATGTCTGAGGGATAGAGGCTCGCCTCAACACGCTGAGTAAAACCGGCAAACCCAGCTGTAATGGCGTCATCCGCCCTCGGCTCTAGGAGGAGGCTGGGATAAACCAAGGTGAAATGTCCTTGGAATGGTGCCTGTTCATCGTCAACAGGTCTCCGGAAGGGCCTGGCTTGTAGGGTACAGACTCGGAAAACCCCCACATTGAGTGTGTACCGAATGGCGCAATGGGGCCTGAAGGGAACGTCCCAATCAGTTGTGATTTCGAGCCCATTTGAGACGGTGTGGCTAGCTATGGCAAAGTCGATTTCATTGCCACCCATGATGGTGGGCTCGTTAGTAGCTAGCACTTTCCCGCGCAGGAGGGACTCAATCGAGGTTTCGAGTATGTCTTGCGGTGGGAGGTTGAAATCCCCCGCTACAAACCATTCAATGGTGAGGCCTTTAATGAAGGCAATAAGATCACCGACAATGGTGGGGTTGTGTCCTCCAGTGAGGCCTACACTGGTTTCAAGGTAGATGGAAATAAAAACAATGTCCCTCTTCCCGGTTCTACCTACCACAGCCACATACCCTTTACCTTCAACACCAAAGGATCTCAGGAATCGGAAATTTCGATCTTTTTCAACCGCAATCATGACGCCTCCAGAGTTTTTTCCCCCCTCAGTTGGGTGGGCCGGTAGGGTCCAGGCAGCGTACCCGGCCTGATCCAACTGATGGATGGCAAGATGCTGTTCTTTGGCTGTGAGGTGGGTTTCCTGGAGACACACCCCCTGTCTATCTAGGAGCCACGTTTTGATCTCAGCTCTCCATCTTGTGACATTGGCAACTGTGATTTCAAATTTTGCTGGTTCGTCTTTGGGCTGCCTTTTTGCATCAGCAATTGCCTCCAGACAAACACTAGGTTCGTTTCTGTGAGTGGCCAGTTGATGCAATGCATGGTTGGCCGCCCATTCTTCAAGAGACCCTTGGCGGATTGGCATTTTGTCCACCAGTTCCACCAATTCCTCCTCACATGCAGCAAGTGACTGGTCCTTGGCCTTGAGGAGGAGGGAGGTGAATTCATCGTTGGGATTTTCGTCTTCCGCCAGGGCTGAAAACCGGTTGTAGAGATTGATTGGGGAAGGACCGAACTCCCTCCACTCAGGTGAGATATTGTTTGTAAAAACCCCCCTAGAAAGGGGGAGAGGGTCAAAATCGTCCTCCGTCCCCGGCTTGGATGGTGTGGTCAAAACAGCCTGAGACTCGGGAGTGCCTGAAAGGCTCGCGGAGGGCACACGGGTGCTAGCCTTCTCAACGTCTTTGGACCAAGAAAGCTGGCCCTTCGCCTTCCACTTCTTTTTATATACAGTGACAAAACCTTGTTCGGCTTCCGAACCTCCTGGCCACAGGTCGGGCTCCTGGTGAGGCCAATAGCCCACTATTAAACCCCACGTGGCGCCCTCCCGGCCGGGTTCCTAACTCCTGGTTTTGGGCGAGCGGCTGCGCTCCCCTTTTTCTTTGCCCCCTTCTTTGACGGAGGTGGGTGGGGAGGCGCTTTGGGTAGCCAGCTTGCGTCGCTTGCGCTCAAGCTGCACTTCAAGTTCTTCTCGTCGTAGCTCAAGGTCTTCGATTTCCATGTTGGGGCATCCTTGCTCAATTGCCGCCTTGAGGTCGATGGTTTGTGAGGGGCCGGGCCATTGCCCAGTGATTACCATGTTCTTTTGGTCTGGGGTTAGGGTCACCCCAATGGCTTCCAACTGGGCTGCAATGGCCTGACCCCCTATACCTGGAGGACTCCCCCCCAATCCAGGCGGGAAACCGGCATGGGCCAGCAGTTGCTCCGCAGCCTTCTGCCTTCGCTGGAGCTTGTGCTGGGCCTGGGCATCCCGCACCTTTTGGAGTTGGGCTTCATCAAGGGAAAGGCCAATGCTTCCAAGCACCTCGGACAGATTAAAGTCCTCATCTTCTTCTTGAACGGGCGCCTGAAGTACCTTGTCCCGGAAGGTCTTGGCAAGGGTTTCCATATTTTCCTCAGCCGCTTTCAGCTCTTGCATCAAGTTTTGCATTTCAACATACAACGCTTTGAGGGCGGCTTTCGATTCGTCAATCTTGGCTTGGAGACGAATTTTGCGGTGGCCTAAGGACCGCAGCTTGGTGGATGCCCCTTTGAGCTCGTTCGTGGCTGTTATGGCGGCTTCTTCTGGCGGAACATCAGGAACCTTGTTCCTGTTGTGCAGCGCTGTCTGGACGTCCGCTGGCAGATCCCCAATGTGGGCCTGCAATAGGTCCAGAAGGGCCACCTCATCCGACGACTTGTCCTCCACCGGGGCCCTGAAACCGGCCTTGGAGAGTTCAACACGGGCAGCTTCGGGAATTTGTTCCCATACCCCTTCCAAGGCCTTGTAGACCTTAGGGGTTCGAGGCGGCTTGGGCGACGGCGGGTTGGGCGTGCCCCCCATTGCCTCCCCATTCTGGGCTTTGGGCTTAGGGGCTTTGGGGTTCCTCCAGGTGGCAGATTCCCACACTGTAGGACGCCTCCCCTTGGTGGGCCAGGTCTTTGCACACTTCTTGCATTTGAGGTCCTGCGTGATTAGATCTGTGTAGATCCAATTTCCGCAGCCCTTGCAAACAGTGTATTCCCGACCCATTGCGGGAGGCGTGTTGACCACCCTTTCTCCCCCTATGATGGTGGGAGGGTGTGTTGGTCAACCCCCGTTAGGAGCGAGCCCCTTTCCGGTGGGTACGGTATGCTATGGCACTACAAAGAGACTGGGATTCAAGATGGAGCCTGTTCCCCCACACAAGGTTTGGGCCTCAGGGCTTGTTTCACAGTCGCTTTCCTACCACAACACCCCACCGGGGTCTGAGCCGAAACTTGAGCCACCAGGTGAATTTTTCTTCTCGGAGCGCGAGGCGCGGCCGCCGAAGCGGCAATTCCTAAAACCGTCCTTGGGTTTTCCACCTTTGGTGGAGGAGCCTAAAACTTCTACCACACTTACTCCTCACTTTGGAGGGTTTGCTCAAGACCTCTTTGGGCCGTTGCCCTACGAGCCCTTCAAGAGGTGCCCTACTTGTTCCCCCCTAAAGGGTGGGTAAGTGTGGTGGTGGTTGCCGTGTAGGCCCATACTCCCCAAGGTGGGTGAGTGAAAACAGGCAGAGGCCATTCCGGGTTGGCTTGGGGCATCCCTGCCGGGAAGTTGTGCGAACACCACTGCAGAGTGGACGAGGGCCTAAAAGAAAGCTGCCGCTCCCCTACTCCTCTCTTTGGAGGTAAGCTGGACTACACAGGACTGTACAAGTACAGGCCCTGCAAGAGGTGCCCTGCTCCCCCCTTTTCGGGTGGGTAGGTGTAGCGGTGGGTGCGGCGTGGGCCCCCGCAAGTGGTGTGCACAGGTGGGTTTTGACCCCTTCCCGGCGGGCTTACGCCTCAAGGTCTTCAATTGAGGCGAAGCACCAGTCCCCGCTACTGTTGACTCCATTGACCGTCATCGGGAGGCACAGGTTCAGCGAGGGACTAGGGATGATGACCCCTTGACGGATCAAAGTCCCAAGAACCTCCTTCCCCCCATCCGTGGCAAGGAGGCGCTGCCTGAAGGCGATGGCGAGTCGCCGTGGGCTCGAGTGGTCCGTACGGACGACGCCTCGAGCCCACGCCGCTACCTCGGGGGTGTTGGCTTCGATCCACCCCCACCATGAGGCAATGCGGACGCGTTGGGGAAAACCAAGCGGGGCATCTTGGAATGCCCAACCCCCACAATCAAGGGCCACGATTTCCGCAGGCCCTTGATCGGGCCCGTGTGGATTGGGGGGACGAACCCCCCAATTCTTTCTGTTCAGGTCCCTGACCCAAATGCCAGCACCCACAAGGGCTGTGAGGACCATGAACATGTGCAAGACCTGGAGGTTGGAGGGCTGGTCAGGCAACAGCGTAAGACGCTCAACCTCCAAGACCTCAATCTCCAGGGTCTTGAAGTCACGGATGGTGAGCTGTCCCGTCCCCACCATTCTGGTTTGCGTGGCACATAAACCTGGCAGCCGCTGCCCAATGGTTTGCTCAATCCCATGGTGGCTGGGATCTGCTTTGAGAGCAACCTTCCACACCTTGCCTTCTGAGGAAGGTGAGGTGTACACTGCTCGCGTTCCCCCTATGCCCAGGAGGCTGGAACCCTTGAAGGTTGGGAAGCAATCCAACCACAAGGTTGGGCCGAGGTTAAACAGCCAGAAGTCACGGTTGTTGCTACGGCGAACCCGGTCAACCGTGAGGTGGAGGCTGTCTGCCAAGAGAGGCCAAGGTAGAAGAGGTGCCGCCTCTCCTGACGACTCTTCGGAGCTAAACTCCTCGGTTGATTCCTGCTTGACTGGCATGGGGTCAGTGCTTGCCTCTCCCCCCTCGGCAGGTGGGGTTGGGCTCGGCTCGGGCTGGTGCCGCGGTTGGTCGGGTGAGGCTCGTCGAAGCTCTGTTGAGTTCGACGATTGCGAGGGGGACTCCGCAGCTGGTGCTTCTGCATCGGTCTCCTCTTGGCGCGGTGTGCGGCTGCGGCTCGTTGAGGGGCTTCTTGCTGCTGGAGCCCCCCGTCTGACGGGGGGGGGTGTGGGTGGTCTGGCGTGACCCCTTTCCTCTGCCGGGTGTGGGCCTGCTCGGGCGTTCTTGCCTTGCCCCTTGGGAGGTGGCCACAAACCCAGCTGCTTAAGGCGATCTCTGTCCTTCTTGGAAGGCCGCTTGAAGGGGATCTCGCCTTTACCTCCAGGAGGATGGCCCCCTTTGCCTGCTCCGGGAGGTTGGCTCCCCCCCCCCTTACCTTTGCCTTTGCCTTGAGGAGGCTGCGCCCCCTTTCCTTTGCCCTGGCCCCATCCCATATCTACAGGTTCTAAGGTAGCTAAACTGCCCTACGGCTGCTACCTGTGTTTGAGACCAGCGGCTGCAGTGTGGGGATTTTATTCCATACGGGAGGTGAGGGCAGGCAAGTGGAAATCAGGCAGGTGCAAAGGTACTGAAGGGTAGTTTAACACAAGACACTGCAAAATGCAGATTTCACATTGTTCAGACCTGAAAATCACTATCCATTTCTTGGGCCCCCAAAGAAGGTGGCGACCGACGGCGTACCCTGGGCTGCTTTATTGAGTTTAAGGGCATTCGTTGGGGGCCTCTTATTCGGGGCGTGTTGGCAGGGTCTTTCAAGGGGGCCATGGGTTAACCCCCCAACACTTTGAGTGCTACTGCATTTTGTGCACACCCATCGGTTCCCTTCATTCACCATAACGTGGGAGGCGTGCCACGTCCATGTTGGGGAGGGAACGCTGTCCGGATGACCCTTGCAGTGGTTATGGGTCTTTCGGTTGAATGTGTCTTTGGTGTCAACTTGTTGAATCCACAAACCGCAATTTTCACATTTGATTTGCAAATTGTTAACGGTGTTCCGGGTGATGACAAAGGTGTGACCTTTAACGTCTAGGGTGCCTTGCACCAAGCCTGTCAAAATTTGTTTTTTGTTAAGGCTCCCTGTTTCTTCAGGTCGTGCTGTGGTAGCGTCACCCCCTGGAATGCCATCCGCCGGATTCACGGTGGGGGAATTCAGGCCTGTGGTGGCTTGGTTGCCCCTCTGAATTTTCCGGCGTTTCTTCCACCGGTTTTTGGAGAAGGTGGATTGGTTTGAGGAGGAGCTACTGGAGGGAGGGTTGGCCGGTTCTTCCTGGGGTTGATCCTTAGGGAAAACAACTTGCGGGCCATCCTTCTTGCCTCCCTCAAGCAAGGAGAGGAGCCGGCGTCCTAAAAAGCTGGCCACATCGGTAGCCAGTTTGTCCTGTTTCTGCAGCCTTTCTGCACGCTCAGTGCTGTAGAGGGCTTTGGCATGTCTGGACACCAATGCATCAACCTCAGCATTGATGTTGCGCCGCCATTCTTGGCCTTCCCCCATTTTTGCCTTAAATTCCTCGCATCCCAAATGGGATGGGACCCATGTAAGGCGAAGCTCATGGGTGGGCGCAGTACCAAAAATGTCTTGGTGTGCTCCTCCCCCTGCGGGGCCCCTTCTGGCACGCGCAACGGCCCCTTTGCAATCACTGGTGACATCGGTCCCTTCTGGAAGGAGAAGGGCCGCTTGTTGGATGGCTTTAGCCTCCCCTCGGTACACTGACTGCTCATTACCAAGGAGACCGGCAATGGACCCGATTCGCTTGGGCGTGTCCCCACACCATTCATAAACTATCAACCCCCACACCACGGTTTGAAGCCGCTGGTCAGTGGTGGGGCCCCCACTGGCGTCAGTGGCCGCGAAAGCGCCTTCAGGGATTTGGTCTGGATTGCGGAGGACTCCTTGGACTTCCAGAATAGAATCTCCGAAGGGCATTTCCCTGGGAAGGTTGGGCATGAGCCCAAAATTCCACAGACAATCAGTGGATTGATGCTCCGGGTAATCTTCCCACCATCTAGGCGGTTGTTCACCATGCTTTTTCCACCATTTGCATTCCCAGAGTACATGCTTCTTGGTGGCAGGAAGGTTGCACAGGGAACACGTGGCTGTTGGAGACGCCTTGACAGCGCCTTGCCACAACGCTTGGAGCGCCGCCTTTTCTTGCTTGTTGGCTTGTTTGAGGAGCCTTCTGGGGGCTGTCCAGTCCGGTCCTGTCTCTAATCCTTTGCCACCATCTGATTGAGCAATGCGGCGGTGTCGCCTGGTGTCAATTAGATGTTTTAGCTGGAAAAGAAGTCTATGGAAGTCAGGTCCCTGACGGATGTCAAGAATGTCGCCTTCAACACGCCACTTGCTGAGGCTGATGGCCTCCCACTCCAACTCTTGAAGGTAGCACCAGGCGGCTCCAAGCGGTCCAGCCGCCCTTTTCCAGGGATGTTCAGCCTCGCTCAGCCATTGCCCGAGTTTGTTCCAGCTCTGGTGCAATCTGGCAATGTCCCTGTCGGGCCAGCTGAGAAGAAGCCTCCGTATCGCCTTGAAATGCTGCGACAAGATGGTGTAGGCTGGATCTACAACTTTGTTCGAGTGGAACTCAAGGGCTGAGTCAGTGCTGGCAAGCGTGGGTCTGCCCAAGGCTGCAGCCAGCAAACTTCTGAACCATTTGCGCCGTTTAGGCGCTACCCCAACCCCTTCATGCCCATACAAGGCAGAGGACCGGATGGAACCGTTGAAGAGTCTCACTCTGATGCTAGTGCTTTTGACTTGCAGCTTGGTCAATTTCCTGGCACGCTGCCCTCCTTTAGCGTGCCTGCCTTTGGCCACTGTGATTCGCCTCCTCTGCCCCGCAGCATAATCCAGACCAAGGTCCTTGCCTAAGGTTTTGATGGGGGGTTCATGTTCTTCAAGCAAGGATTGCAGCTCTCTGGCCGAGGCTTTGTTTGAGCAGATGAAAGCCGTTTTGGTGGTGCTGACCATCAGGCCCTGATTCTCGAGGTCAGCTTTAAGCTCCCTGTAACACTTGATGGCTTGAGCAGCGACTGTCGGCGCATGAGAATCGACAAAATCTGCTGAGCAATCGTCCACCCACAAATCGATGTGGTGTACAGGGGAGGCAGAGTGCATCTTCGAGATCGGATCGTGGAGCACAACTCTGGAAAGAGCAGGGGCGAGAGGGCAACCTGCTATGAGACCTCTTGTAGCTCGGATGGGGCGAGACAGACTCCCCTGCGCTTCTATGTATCGGCTGCCTGAGTAAAGGCTTAACGCTCTTTCAAGTAGAAGCGGGGGAAAGGAGTGTCGGACACCCTGGGCTAGGAGCTGCCAATGTGGGACAGTCTCATAGAAGGATGTTAGATCAAGGAGAAGGGTAATGGTGTGACGCTTCTCTCTTTTGTTTGTTTCAGCCCTGATTAGGCGGCGGAGGGCCGTGTCAAGGGAACTGTTCCCTGCCTTTGCCTGATTCCAGGGAGAGGTAGGGTTGTAACTGTTCTCCCACTCTGTGATAAGATGCCATCTCGCCTTGCAAAATATCCTGTGAAGGACATGGGTGAACCCAATAGGCCGTTCGGATGTTTCATTTTTGGGGAGCATGGCATACTGTGTAATATCACAGTGCTGGGGAAACTGGGCTTCGATTTCCCATTGGCGCACCATGCTAGCCAATTCAAGAATGGCTTCATGAGGTAATGCTCGGAGCATTTCATAGCACCACCCATCTGGGCCTGGGGCTTTGTTTGGGACCTTTTTTAGGAGGGAATTCCATTCCTCCACCGAAATGGGCGAGAGGTTGGCTGCTTGTTTCCTCGCTTGGTTCTGCAGGGCCAAGCGAGGGTCGGTGCCATGAGTGCCGCTCAACCCACTTGGGGCCCACATGTCAGCCCACCATGCCCTTCTGGCGTGAGGCTTAACCTCCACCGCAAGGTCCGCAAATGGGCGAGTAGTGGTGTTTTCCTCAGTCTTGAGTGCCCGGTAAAGGTGGCGCAGATGGTTTTTCCCATCACCTTGGAGCCAGGCCTCGTACTTTTTGGCTTGTTCCTGATGTGCTTTCCTCAGGTGAAGTTTTCGTTGTGTTTCGATGATTTGTCTGACCTCTTTGGCTTTGGGCCCTTCTTTTCCAAAGTGCTCTTGGACGAGGTTAACCGCTGTCTGGCACCTGAATGCATCGCATTCCTCCCAATTGAGAAGGAGTTGGGAGAGGTGGGATTGGACCACCTGCTGAAGCTTGGGACTCAGACCAATGCGGAGGCCTTGCCGGTGCCAGACCGTAAGTCTACCCCAGAATTTGGACTTCCCACCAGCCCAGACGAAACCTGTGGGTTTAGGCGGGGCTAGTGGTCCAATATGGGTTTCAACCTGGCAACCCCTGCCTCTGATGTCTGAGGGATAGAGGCTCGCCTCAACACGCTGAGTAAAACCGGCAAACCCAGCTGTAATGGCGTCATCCGCCCTCGGCTCTAGGAGGAGGCTGGGATAAACCAAGGTGAAATGTCCTTGGAATGGTGCCTGTTCATCGTCAACAGGTCTCCGGAAGGGCCTGGCTTGTAGGGTACAGACTCGGAAAACCCCCACATTGAGTGTGTACCGAATGGCGCAATGGGGCCTGAAGGGAACGTCCCAATCAGTTGTGATTTCGAGCCCATTTGAGACGGTGTGGCTAGCTATGGCAAAGTCGATTTCATTGCCACCCATGATGGTGGGCTCGTTAGTAGCTAGCACTTTCCCGCGCAGGAGGGACTCAATCGAGGTTTCGAGTATGTCTTGCGGTGGGAGGTTGAAATCCCCCGCTACAAACCATTCAATGGTGAGGCCTTTAATGAAGGCAATAAGATCACCGACAATGGTGGGGTTGTGTCCTCCAGTGAGGCCTACACTGGTTTCAAGGTAGATGGAAATAAAAACAATGTCCCTCTTCCCGGTTCTACCTACCACAGCCACATACCCTTTACCTTCAACACCAAAGGATCTCAGGAATCGGAAATTTCGATCTTTTTCAACCGCAATCATGACGCCTCCAGAGTTTTTTCCCCCCTCAGTTGGGTGGGCCGGTAGGGTCCAGGCAGCGTACCCGGCCTGATCCAACTGATGGATGGCAAGATGCTGTTCTTTGGCTGTGAGGTGGGTTTCCTGGAGACACACCCCCTGTGGTCGCCTATCTAGGAGCCACGTTTTGATCTCAGCTCTCCATCTTGTGACATTGGCAACTGTGATTTCAAATTTTGCTGGTTCGTCTTTGGGCTGCCTTTTTGCATCAGCAATTGCCTCCAGACAAACACTAGGTTCGTTTCTGTGAGTGGCCAGTTGATGCAATGCATGGTTGGCCGCCCATTCTTCAAGAGACCCTTGGCGGATTGGCATTTTGTCCACCAGTTCCACCAATTCCTCCTCACATGCAGCAAGTGACTGGTCCTTGGCCTTGAGGAGGAGGGAGGTGAATTCATCGTTGGGATTTTCGTCTTCCGCCAGGGCTGAAAACCGGTTGTAGAGATTGATTGGGGAAGGACCGAACTCCCTCCACTCAGGTGAGATATTGTTTGTAAAAACCCCCCTAGAAAGGGGGAGAGGGTCAAAATCGTCCTCCGTCCCCGGCTTGGATGGTGTGGTCAAAACAGCCTGAGACTCGGGAGTGCCTGAAAGGCTCGCGGAGGGCACACGGGTGCTAGCCTTCTCAACGTCTTTGGACCAAGAAAGCTGGCCCTTCGCCTTCCACTTCTTTTTATATACAGTGACAAAACCTTGTTCGGCTTCCGAACCTCCTGGCCACAGGTCGGGCTCCTGGTGAGGCCAATAGCCCACTTTTTTTCCCCACGTGGCGCCCTCCCGGCCGGGTTCCTAACTCCTGGTTTTGGGCGAGCGGCTGCGCTCCCCTTTTTCTTTGCCCCCTTCTTTGACGGAGGTGGGTGGGGAGGCGCTTTGGGTAGCCAGCTTGCGTCGCTTGCGCTCAAGCTGCACTTCAAGTTCTTCTCGTCGTAGCTCAAGGTCTTCGATTTCCATGTTGGGGCATCCTTGCTCAATTGCCGCCTTGAGGTCGATGGTTTGTGAGGGGCCGGGCCATTGCCCAGTGATTACCATGTTCTTTTGGTCTGGGGTTAGGGTCACCCCAATGGCTTCCAACTGGGCTGCAATGGCCTGACCCCCTATACCTGGAGGACTCCCCCCCAATCCAGGCGGGAAACCGGCATGGGCCAGCAGTTGCTCCGCAGCCTTCTGCCTTCGCTGGAGCTTGTGCTGGGCCTGGGCATCCCGCACCTTTTGGAGTTGGGCTTCATCAAGGGAAAGGCCAATGCTTCCAAGCACCTCGGACAGATTAAAGTCCTCATCTTCTTCTTGAACGGGCGCCTGAAGTACCTTGTCCCGGAAGGTCTTGGCAAGGGTTTCCATATTTTCCTCAGCCGCTTTCAGCTCTTGCATCAAGTTTTGCATTTCAACATACAACGCTTTGAGGGCGGCTTTCGATTCGTCAATCTTGGCTTGGAGACGAATTTTGCGGTGGCCTAAGGACCGCAGCTTGGTGGATGCCCCTTTGAGCTCGTTCGTGGCTGTTATGGCGGCTTCTTCTGGCGGAACATCAGGAACCTTGTTCCTGTTGCGCAGCGCTGTCTGGACGTCCGCTGGCAGATCCCCAATGTGGGCCTGCAATAGGTCCAGAAGGGCCACCTCATCCGACGACTTGTCCTCCACCGGGGCCCTGAAACCGGCCTTGGAGAGTTCAACACGGGCAGCTTCGCGAATTTGTTCCCATACCCCTTCCAAGGCCTTGTAGACCTTAGGGGTTCGAGGCGGCTTGGGCGACGGCGGGTTGGGCGTGCCCCCCATTGCCTCCCCATTCTGGGCTTTGGGCTTAGGGGCTTTGGGGTTCCTCCAGGTGGCAGATTCCCACACTGTAGGACGCCTCCCCTTGGTGGGCCAGGTCTTTGCACACTTCTTGCATTTGAGGTCCTGCGTGATTAGATCTGTGTAGATCCAATTTCCGCAGCCCTTGCAAACAGTGTATTCCCGACCCATTGCGGGAGGCGTGTTGACCACCCTTTCTCCCCCTATGATGGTGGGAGGGTGTGTTGGTCAACCCCCGTTAGGAGCGAGCCCCTTTCCGGCGGGTACGGTATGCTATGGCACTACAAAGAGACTGGGATTCAAGATGGAGCCTGTTCCCCCACACAAGGTTTGGGCCTCAGGGCTTGTTTCACAGTCGCTTTCCTGCCACAACACCCCACCGGGGTCTGAGCCGAAACTTGAGCCACCAGGTGAATTTTTCCGTCTGCACGCTGCTTGGCGTAGCCACCCGAAGGGGCTGGGGTTTTAGGGTGAAACTTACAAACACTGCACAGTGAGACTACCGGTACTAGCCCTCACTTCCCTCAGACATTTGTCGAGGCCGAAATCCATTCCCTCAGACCGTGGTCGAGGCCGAAAGTCCCTCAGGCCATGCTGAGGCCGAAGTTCCCTCTCTTGCACCCCTCAGACCGAAGTCGAGGCCGAAACTCCTCAGCCAGCACGCCGAGGCGGTATTTTGATTCGGTTTTTTGGTGCCTCTCTGACCACTATCCATGTTTCTTGTCTGGCTTGCGCTGCTCACTCATCAGCTTCGTCATACGGCATGCCCAGCGTGATTTTCTGGATCTCTGTTGCCGGAACCGAAAGTAGGGTTCCATCCCATCCTCGTTTTGCAATCCCGGCATCCAGCAGGTGCTGGGCAAATGGCCCGACATTGCCTACGCACGCCATCCAAAGCGCGCTGGCCTTGCCGTCGTACGTTCTGACCAATCCACGTATGGTTGCCAGTAGCTCCTCATCATACTTCTCCAGGAGGCGTACAAGGCCGCTTGATAGCTTGTATCTCTCCTCCTGCAGCATCGTCCACTCCGCCGTGTCAAAGAACACTGCCCGTGGTAACGATCCTGACATTGGGTCGCGCCCAACGTTGCTCACCGTGACATCCGATAGAGCAACTCCTTGCATGGTCAGCCATGACGTTATAGCCACCAGGTAAAACAGGGACTGTCTGAGGACCCCGGCTTCATGGCGATGTTCCTGCCACCATGTGTTGAACAGCTCTGCCCTGCGGATGATACTTCCATAGAAGTAGTGGTGGCAGTAACCCTCCACCGCTTCGTCGAAAAGGACTCCAATCCATCCTGCCCACAGGGTCCTGGTGACCAGGGTGGGGAATTGTTCCCCATACCCTGCTTCGTTGCCAAAGCTCTGGGGTTCCATCGCCAGTTTCATGACCCATAGCCGATCCAGAGCATATCCTCGTCGAGTGCGCCCTGCACCTATGAAGGGAAGCACCCTAGGCTGTAAGCTTTGCCCTGTCGTTGGGTTGCGGACCAATTGGACCTCCCCAAGCCAATGGAGCGCTGTCCTTGGCCTTTGCTGGTTCTGCAGTTTGTGCACCAAAAGGTGCACAGGCTTGGCTTGCCCCATGGCTTCCTTTTTCTCCTTTCCCTCAGCTTCCTGCGAGGCCATATTGTGGGCACCTGGCCCTTCCGCCAGCGTGACTGTACGAGGCTCGCTTGCCTCTTGCTCTGTATTGACACCCTCAGCTTGGTGCGAGGCCGCGCTGTCTTCTCCTCTCTCCCGTAGGCGTACCGGACCCACCGGAGATTCCGAAGCACTCTCCTCTTCCCTCTCCCAAGGCTGCTCCGGGTGTCTGGCCTGTCGAAGCGGGGAACGTTCTCGGGGCTGATCCTTCTGCTTGCTCTGGCTTTTGCCCTTGCCTTTGTCCGGCCGATTCCTTAACCAGGATGGCAGTCGGGACCCTTGTCTTCTCATCGTAGCATCCGTCTTCCATTGTCTCATTGCTACAGGGCCGCCTTGAGGATGAGGACGCCGTTGTTTCACCCTCAGCTCTGCGAGGCCGAGGCCTCCTCTCTTACCCTCTGCGGTGTCGCAAGCACGCAGCACCGCGAGGCCGAGCTACACTCCCTAGCAAAGCGAGGCCGTAAACACCAATCGCAATTCCCCGTTGCGAGGCCCTCACCCTCAGCTACGAGGCCGAAACCCTGTCTCCTTGCACCAAACGGCTGCGGAATTACTGCGTTCCCTCAGCTTAGCGAGGCCTAACAAACAATGACATCTTCTGCTGTGCGCTGGCTTGGGGCTTAGCTTTGGCGTGTTTCCCACCAAACTGAACGCGAGGCTGTTGAAACTGGACGTTGCTCATATTTCCACCATTGACAAGGGTTTGCGCTTGGGTAGCCAGCTTGCCCTGAGAAGTCCGCGATTTGCACTCCCCCGCCAGGCTTTTATTGCACTTCTGGCTGACCGGTGCATGTGTTCGGTCACACTTTGTGCAAACCCAACGGATTCCCAAATTCACCATATTATGGGAGGGGTGGATACCCCACTCTTCACGCACTCGCGCCTCCGGCTGGTTGACGCAGTACTGCTCCAAGACCACCTCCAAGTTCGTGAGGGTTTGTTGTACATACAACCCGCACAGTTGACATTTCAGTGTTAAATTCCGGGGGTGTTCGCTGCCCTTCTCCCATTGATGCCCGCGCTCCGGGTCTTTAAGCAACTGCCATAGCCGCTGGCGTTTGTTGAGTTTGGCGTTGCCCTGCTCTTTTTTACATCCCTCAGCTTTCTGCGAGGCCTCCATCTTCTCTTTGTAATGCGCATGGTCCAGAATGAAGGGGAAGTCTTCTTCTTTGCGCTTCCTCAATATGTGGGCTGCGCGTGCACCGTACGCCAGGGAAAGTGTGCGCACCACATTGTCCAACTCTTTGACACGCCTCTTGTGCGCTGGGCTGTAAGCAGCCGCCGCTACTGCACCACATACTTTGTCTGCCATGTCATTCGCTGCACGTCGCCACAACGTGCCCGGCCCCATCTTCGCCAGGAATTCCTCTTCAGTTTTGTGGGACGGAACCCAGGTTGCCTTGATACGTTTCCTGTCATTCCACACTTTGCTCCATTCCAGGTCATCCTCCGGCGGTTGTGTTTTTTGTAGCACTTGGACTGCCGGCTTGCAATCCATAGTGACATCAATCAGATCCTCCGTGTGCTCCATTAGTCGGAAAAGTGCACGGCGCTCCATGTCCACCACCGGTTGCCACGGGTAGACCAGCTCTGTAATCCGTCCGGCTTCCACCAGGACACCTTTTGTCCAGGACATAGCCACCACTGCGAGGGCTGATGTTTGTACACGTGGGTCTATTCCTCCTGGACCTCCACTTGCGTCAGTGGCGAAGATCAAGCCTTCCGCTTCCACTTTGGCATCTGCTGCAAAGCAGCCTTGGTAACGTAGACCTAAAAGGTGTTCCGGCGGCTTCGGGTGCCACACCGCCGGCTTTGGCAGGAGTGCCCTTGTCCACAGACACTCCCATGGGTATTTGTGACGCAAGTATTCCTGGAGCTTGGGTTCTTTGAACCCTTGTTCACGCCAGTAAGGACATTCCTTGAGGACATGCTCCAGAGTTGCTGGCATTTGGCACTTCTTGCACCATCCTGGCTTGGACTCCGTGATGACGCCCGCGTGCCACACTGACTTTATACCTTCCATAAGGCCTGGGCTAAGGCCTCCCAGCTTCGTCAGCTTGTGATGCGGCGTCCAATCCAGCCCCTCTTGGGCACCAGCGCCACCTGCCTGTCGCGCTATCGCAGCCCGCTTCTGCTTCTTTCAAGCCATTTGTAGGCGAGGCTACCCATGCGTGGCTGGGTCCAATCAACGTTGAGGACACTTCCTCTCTTCCATCTGCCTGGGTCACTGGCATCTACCTTCAGATCCAATAAGTACGCCATGGTTGCTGCCATCGGCCCCGTGACCAGTGGCCAGTGGTGTTTGGCCGCACTCAACCTCTTCCAAGTGGTTTTCCAGGCCAAGTCAAAGTGGGCTTTTCCGCCACCGATCCATGCACGGAAAACTTTGGCCACCACTTTGAAATGCTGCTTGTGGATTGTGCGCTTTGGATCCTGGCATTTCTTGGCTCCCATGTCCAAGATGGTTTCCAAACTCCCAAGCTTGTATTTACCCAGGTGTTTTCCTACCACTGTTCGGAGCCATTTCATTCTTTTGGGTGAAACCCCCACAGAGGGGTGCCCCCACAAAGCAACTGATGTGATCGCTGCCTTGACCACGCGGAGTTTAGTGCTGGGCGGCGGCCCCAGCCTAGACAGTTTGCTATGTCTCGCATGGGCTTTCTTGGCCCGCGTTGCCGACGTCACCAAGCGACGCTTTCGCCCCCCTGTACTGTCGACGCCCAGGTCACGCATCACGTCGTACACCTGTGGCTCATGAGGCAGCAGGAGTTCACGCAGGTGCTTGCTCGCCTGGGTACTGCTGGCCACAAACCCTGTCTTCTTGGATGAAATCGTGAAACCATTAGCATCCATCCCGTCCTTTAAGCTGCGGTAGACTCGTATGGCACTATCCGCCACGTGTTTAAAGGACTTATGCTGGATGTCAATTGAGACATCATCCAACCAACAGTCCACGTTTGCCACATCTCGTCGCCTTTGGATCTTTTCTATCACCGGGTGCAATGCCACCTTTGCTAACGATGGCGCCGCTGGGCAACCCGCTTGCACTCCATTTGTAGCTCTGATGCCTGCCGATAGCACCCCATCCGCCACCAAGTATCTGGCACCCATGTACACTTCCAGTGCCATCTTCAGGATTAGCGGTGGATATTGCAGGGCCGTTGCTGCCATGATCAATTGCCGAAATTGGATGGTATCGAAAAAGGACTCGAGGTCCACAAAGAGTGACACCACATGCACTCCATTTGTCTTTGCCACCTCATTTCGCAGTAGTCTGCCTACGGCCACGTCCAAGCAGCAACTGCCTGGGACTGCCTTGTCGTACGTGGCAGTTGTGGCATAGCCTGCCTGCCAAGTACTTACCAAATCCCATCGCAGACGGACCCAAGTCCTGTACAGGATGTGTAGCAAGGCGATTGGTCTTTCCCGGGTCAGATTCTTCGGCAGCATTGCTATAAGGGAGACTGTCATTTGCTGCGGCCATGCTGCCTTGGCCTCACATTCATGGTAGAAGGACACAACGGCTTCAACTGCTTTATCGTCCATGGCCTGCAAATGGTCAATCCTCCAGCCATCCGGCCCCGGGCTCTTTAGTGCCAGTTTTTTGATCCTTGCCTTGACCTCGACAGGGTTCAGCGGCTCCACGCTGGCCGCTTGTTTTTTGGCTGCATCCTCAAGCTCCGTCATGAGCGAGGCCGATTTTGCCAACGGTTGGCCCGTCGTCCACACTGCCGCCCAGTGGTCTCGGCGAATGTGTGGCCGTTCCAGCATGTCATATTCCATGTAGGGTCTGTGTACCACTTGTTCTTCTTTTCGCAAGGCATTGTATAATGGTCGCATGCCCTTTTCCATGGCCTTACTGAGCCATTGCTTGTACTGGTGGGCTGTCTCCTCCATATCCGCCTTTCTCGCGTAGCATTGCTGTTCGTCGATGCGCTTCAGAACAAGCCTAGCGTCCGTACCCCGGCCCAGGATACTCGCAAGCATATCCTCCTGGTTCTGCGCATCACCCTCGTAATACTCGCCGAGCCTGCGTTGGACCAGACGCGCCACCGGATGTGCATCGCCATGATGTCTGCCTTGTTTGACCCATTGTTGGACCCGGTTCCAAAAGGCCGCCCTCTTGCCCGTCCAAACAACGTTCTCCGGGTTGTTAACCACCAATTTCTTCCGCACAATCTCCGATTTAACACCCATACCGTCGATTCGGCCTGTGATCGACCTCTCCACACCGGCACTCAGGTGAGCAAATGTCTCACTGAGCTCATCTACCATCTTGGGTTCATCCAAGATGTTGATGCTCTGTGTGTTTTGAACTGGTTCGTATTCCACAGTCTCCGTCACCAGTGCTCCCGCCTTCTTCATCTGGGGAACATCAGGGCTACTGCACGGTTGGGCTACCCTCCAATGCATTGCAGCATGAGGCCGAAAAGGGGTTTCCCAATCCGTTTTCACTTGCAGGATGGGCACCAAGCATTTCGCAACCAGCCCGTAATCGATTTCGTCCGATCCTTGGGCCGTTGGTTCCCCCACTCCAACAAATGCACCACCAACTTCTGTCGCCAGAGTTGTGCCCCTCATGGTATCCTGGGCTTCATTCCAATCACCCAGCACCATATATGGCACTTTGCAGCCCTTGAGAAAGGCTATCAGTCTCGCCAGTACTTGGATATTGTTTGGAGCCTGGAATCCGACCCCGCTCTCCAAATACAGACTGACGATGATCAAATCCCAGCCTTTATTTCTCATGGCACATGCCAGGAAGCCCGCCGGTCCTGTCCCATACTCAGTAAGGTATCGCAGGTTCCTATGTCGGGGTGCCACCACTGCCAGGCCTCCTTGTACACCCTTAGTTTTTGTACTTCCTGGCATGCCAATGAAGGTGTATCCCATATCTTGGCAATGGCTCATGGCTTGCTGGATACCCTCCGTCTTGAGATGGGTTTCCTGCAGCACCACCAGGTCCGGTCCTAGTTCGTGTATCCATGCCGCTATGGGTTTCCTCCAGCTGGTGATGTTAGCCGAGGTGATTTTGATGCATTCGGCCTTATCATCTTGGCGATACCCACTTGCCACATCTGCCAAGATCCATTTGGCATATTGTGCGTCCTGCTCCACAAAGGAACGAAGCACTTCGTGGCATGCTCGTTGTTGTAGCGGGTTGAGTTCCTGCTCTTCCAGTTTCTCAATGGCTTCGAGTGCGGCAGCCTCACTGGAAGCATCATATCTACCCACCACTTGACACAACATTTGCCACTCCAGTGGTAGATCCTTAGGTGGTGCTCTTGGGTGCGCTTTCCGTTTCTTGGGCTTTTGCTTCCTTTGGTGACCCTCAGCACTTTGCGAGGCCGACAACCTTGCTTCCTCAGCTTTCTGCGAGGCCTTTAGGCTATCTATCCCCTCTTACCGCAGTTGGGTCTCCCATCTGTGTTTGGCTTCCCTCTGCTTTTTGCGAGGCCGAATTCACACACTCATCCTCATGGTCCTCACCTCCCAGACCGAAGTATCTGGGCCCTGTGACCGCCCAACTGCTATCCACAGCACGGGCTGACTTTGGACCCCGCGTTACTGGACTCCAGCTCTCTTGGCTGTCTTCCACTGTGCTGTTTGTATTAGGCACTTGGGTACTATACACAGCTTGACTGCCTTCCCCATGTACCTGTGGCCATACAATGTCCCCGTGACACTGCTTTCGGCCACCGTCAAAAGAGAAATCAGAGTCTCCCCATTGAGACTCCTCTACTTGTCTTACTTTCATATTTTGGCTGTTCGGACCAGGAGCTGCCCTGAGGTGTCGGCCCCTCCGCTCCTGTCCCAGCCTGAGGTTTCACTCGCCCTGGGCACGCGCCGGCGAGCGTTCGCGCCCCGTCGGCGTTGCCCTGACTGACACATCTCGAGACATGCGCATCGGCCCATATATGCCAAGTTCAACTGGCATGCTCGGCTCTCTTGGTCCCAAGACTCCCGTCCAGTCTGTCTCCACGACTTTGACTGCCATCCTTGTTTTGAGCGCCTCCGCTTGCTCCTCAGACAGGATGATCCCTTCCTTTTCCAGGTAGGCCGCGACGTCCTTGTATGGCGAGTCCTCTTCATCCTTCACACAGGCTTGGACCTTCTTCTGTGCTTCCGCTACCTCCAGCTCCGTGGCCTGGATGGCCTGGCTGACTTGCGCAAGCTGCTTCATGGCCTGCTCGAACTCGCTCTTGATCTTCTCCGTTTTGTCTTGAAGCCGGACCTTCTTCTCAATGAGCGTTCTCAGCTTGTTTGTCGTCCGTCTGTATGTACCAACATGGCGGCTGAGTTCCTGCTTTGGCGTCTCGTCCTCAGGCTTGTAGTCCCCCGGCGGGGGTATACCCGCCGCTCTGAGGAGCCTTTGCACTGCGGGCTCGGCTCCTTGCCACACAGTCTCAATGGCCGCATGGTACTCCTTCTGTGACATGCTTTCTGCCTGCGATCCATTGCCAGGTAATCCCGGGGGCCAAATTGGCCCCGGCTCCATCGTCCGCGGCTTCCATCCTGCTTCTTCGATGGCCTTCTTTGCCTCCATAGAAAGCGTACCCCACGCCTTCGTGAGGGCTTGGTCGGCCATCCCTTCTTTGTTCTTGGCAGGTCTTGTCCACCAAGTAGCGTCTTCCTTTGGCCATTGCCACTTCTTCCGCTGGCTTGACCATGCTCGCTCACGGTAAGTGGCCTTTTTCCACGCCTTTCCGCAATGCCAGCAGTTCGGGTTGTAGTACAAGTCTTCATTCCAGACCCAACCCACCTCGCAGTGGGCACACACAGTACAATGCTTCCCCATGACTGCTGCAGCCTGATGCCAGTCCCACCAGCACCTCAGCAATGCGAGGCCGAAAGATCCCCTCAACCGTAGTGAGGCCGAACTTTATGTGTCCTCAGCCGGAGCGAGGTCGAAACTTGCCCCTCCCTCTGCCGAAGCGAGGCCGAAAACACACCCTCTGCCGATGCGAGGCCAAAGAGTTTCCTCAGCACTTGGCGAGGCCGTACTCAGGCAGCTATGTTGCTGGCAGCCGACTACCAAGCAAACACAGTGGTTTCGGTTTGAGTCCTGTTGGAGCCCACCCTTAGGTACAGTCTCCAGGCAACAGCACTCCCTACCTGAGCACCCCACCGGGGTTGAGCCGAAACTTGAGCCAGGTGAATTTTTCTTTCCGAGCGGTCAAAACGGTCGCAGCTCCAAGGCTAAGTGAAAAGGAAAAACTACCAGGACACCGATCTACAGCAGAGACTACCTGCCTACAGAAAATGTCGCCCCGCCACCCGCAGGTAACGGAGCAAACTGCTGCATGCGAGTCAAGCTGGACCAGGTGTCAAGTGCCAAAGCGCGGATGCCGAGAGAGCCACGAATTCAACGGGCATGCAGGCAAGTCCCGGCATCCTCCTTCACAGCACTGAAGCAAACACTGATTCTCCAATCTCTGGTTAAAAGCGAATCCGAAGCTCAAGGACTGCAAGCTGCCAGTCGAGGCCCCATTGTCCTAGCTCTGGCTGAAGCAATGCCCGAAGCTCAAGGACTGCAAGCTGCCAGGCAAGGCCACATTCTCCAAGCGCTGCCTGAAATGATGTCCGAAGCTCAGGGACTGCAAGCTGCCAGGAAAGGCCACATTCTCCAAGCTCTGGCTGAAGCAAAGCCCGAAGCTACTGAGCTGCCAGGAAAGGCCACATTCTCCAAGCTCTGGTTGAAGCAATGCCCGAAGCTCAAGGACTGCAAGCTGCCAGGCAAGGCCACATTCTCCAAGCGCTGCCTGAAATGATGTCCGAAACTCAAGGATTGCAAGCTGCCAGGAAAAGCCACATTCTCCAAGCTCTGGTTGAAGCAATGCCCGAAGCTCAAGGACTGCAAGCTGCCAGGCAAGGCCACATTCTCCAAGCGCTGCCTGAAATGATGTCCGAAACTCAAGGATTGCAAGCTGCCAGGAAAGGCCACATTCTCCAAGCTCTGGTTGAAGCAATGCCCGAAGCTCAAGGACTGCAAGCTGCCAGGCAAGGCCACATTCTCCCAGCGCTGCCTGAAATGATGTCCGAAACTCAAGGATTGCAAGCTGCCAGGAATGGCCACATTCTCCAAGCTCTGGTTGAAGCAATGCCCGAAGCTCAAGGACTGCAAGCTGCCAGGCAAGGCCACATTCTCCAAGCGCTGCCTGAAATGATGTCCGAAACTCAAGGATTGCAAGCTGCCAGGAAAGGCCACATTCTCCAAGCTCTGGTTGAAGCAATGCCCGAAGCTCAAGGACTGCAAGCTGCCAGGCAAGGCCACATTCTCCAAGCGCTGCCTGAAATGATGTCCGAAACTCAAGGATTGCAAGCTGCCAGGAAGTGCCACACTCTCCAAGCTCTGGTTGAAGCAATGCCCGAAGCTCAAGGACTGCAAGCTGCCAGGCAACGCCACGTTCTCCAAGCGCTGCCTGAAATGATGTCCGAAACTCAAGGATTGCAAGCTGCCAGGAATGGCCACATTCTCCAAGCTCTGGTTGAAGCAATGCCCGAAGCTCAAGGACTGCAAGCTGCCAGGCAAGGCCACATTCTCCAAGCGCTGCCTGAAATGATGTCCGAAACTCAAGGATTGCAAGCTGCAAGGAAAGGCCACATTCTCCAAGCTCTGGTTGAAGCAATGCCCGAAGCTCAAGTACTGCAAGCTACCAGGCAAGGCCACATTCTCCAAGCTCTGCATGAAATGATGTCCGAAACTCCAGGACTGCAAGCTGCCAGGAAAGGCCACATTCTCCAAGCTCTGGTTGAAGCAATGCCCGAAGCTCAAGGACTGCAAGCTGCCAGGCAACGCCGCGTATCCGAAGCCCGAAGCTCAAGGACTGCAAGCTGCCAGGCAAAGCCACGTTCTCCAAGCTCTGGCTGGAACACACTTCTACGCTCAAGGACTGCAAGCTGCCAGGCAAAGCCACATTCTCCAAACTATGGTAAAAACATGCCCCGAAGCTCAAGGAGTGCAAGCTGCCAGGCAAGGTCACAATCTCCCAGCTCTGTATGACTCAAAGACTGCAACCCGCCTGGCAAAACCACATTTTCCAAGCTCTGGTTGAAACACTATCCAACGCTCAAGGAACGCAAGCGGCCAGGCACGGCCACATTCTACAATCTCTGGTTAAAAGCGAATCCGAAGCTCAAGGACTGCAAGCTGCCAGTCAAGGCCCCATTCTCCTAGCTCTGGTTGAAATCAAAAACGAAGCTCAAGGACAGCAAGCTACCAGGCAAGGCCACATTCTCCAAGCTCTGCATGAAATGATGTCCAAATGATGTCCGAAACTCAAGGACTGCAAGCTGCCAGGAAAGGCCACATTCTCCAAGCTCTGGTTGAAGCAATGCCCGAAGCTCAAGGACTGGCAGCTGCCAGGCAACGCCACGTTCTCAAAGCTCCCGTTGAATCGTATCCGAAGCCCGAAGCTCAAGGACTGCAAGCTGCCAGGCAAAGCCACGTTCTCCAGGCTCTGGCTGGAACACACTTCTAAGCTCGAGGACTGCAAGCTGCCAGGCAAAGCCACATTCTCCAAACTATGACACAAACATGCCCCGAAGCTCAAGGAGTGCAAGCTGCCAGGCAAGGTCACAATCTCCCAGCTCTGTATGAAGCAGTGTCCGAACCTCAAAGACTGCACCCGCCTGGCAAAACCACATTTTCCAAGCTCTGGTTGAAACACTATCCAACGCTCCAGGAATGCAAGCGGCCAGGCACGGCCACATTCTCCAATCTCTGGTTAAAAGCGAATCCGAAGCTCAAGGACTGCAAGCTGCCAGTCAAGGCCCCATTCTCCTAGCTCTGGTTGAAATCGAAAACGAAGCCCAAGGACAGCAAGCTGCCAGGCAAGGCCACATTCTCCAAGCTCTGCATGAAATGATGTCCAAATGATGTCCGAAACTCAAGGACTGCAAGCTGCCAGGAAAGGCCGAAGCTGGAGGACTGCAAGCTGCCAGGCAGGGCCACTGCCAGTAAACCCGGAAACTTTTCGGGTGCAAGCATACAAGCGCACACCGGCAAGTGGGAAGTTATTACACCCAAACCTCAACCTACCCACACCCGAAAAGCAAAGGACTATGCGAGCGCAGCCAAACAAGCGCACACCAGCGTAAGTCGAAACCTATCCTTTACCAGGGCGCTCTGCAAGAGTCGGCCGGGGTGGGAGCCGCGGCGCAAGGTGCGCGCAGGTGTGGGGCACGCGGAGGCAAACGGGGCGCAGGTTGGGGACGCAGATGGGTGGAGCTGGACGCAGGTTGAGGAC